ATAAAAGTAAAAAAATCTCAAAAAGTCTATATCATATAATAAAAATTGAGTTGTGTGAGTGTCTAAACATTAAATGCATATCTCTTACAGTAACAAATACTGTCCCTCTTTTAACCTTCCATTAGACTTTACTATATAACTAACTGCATATATATATCAAGTGTTTAAAATGAGCACCTATATGTATAGCTTAAATATTCTACCTTTCATTTTTACCAAAGGTTATTTTATTAACAATTTATATACAAACACATAGAAAATAATAATTAGTATCACATATTGATTAGAAGATTCCTCTAGCAGAATACCTATAGGTATGTACTTCTTAGGTACATGTATATAAAGTCAGTAAAAAATATATATCAATATTCACTCATCAGGGCCTCTATGCTTTTGATGACCTTACAACTGGTAAATTTTATACAACAAAAATAGTAAGTAATACCTAAGATAGACAGAAAAGAACAAATAATTTAGTAAACATGAGTTACTTCCCCTTAAAATAGAGAAAACCTGAAACCCAAAAGAACACCCTAAACATCAAAATTAAGAAATGTTGCAGACTCAGTTGTATTAAGCCATGCAAATTAATGGTAAAGTATTCATAAAAAATAGATGGCCATGTGACAGCAGTAATTGCAGAAAATCGGATAACTTTCAACATCCGGATACTGGTACACTTTGAAAAAAGAACCATATTGTGCAACAGATAAACGTAATATGGATAAAATCAATAGGATAATCGTTTACAACAGTCCATTACCTATCCTTATACTCATTTGCGGGTGAGCGTTCTTCTTGTAGGAAAATTTTGAAAATATACAAATGAATGTAACGAATGGATACGGCATCAATGTAGACCACAACGATATTCGAAACCGGGTTTTAGTATTGTCAATAAAAACTAAGGGGCAAGCTGTTAAACTGAGCCTGCAATTTCGTGAAAATAATATCACAATGCACATGCTTTTTATATAAAGTTGTTAAATACAAATATAACAACTTATTTGTTTACTTGATTTTTACGAATCAAAATAAATCTAATTAACACAACATGAAATTTACTGCTAATAATAACAGCTCCTTCCATAGGCCAAAATAAAAAGAATTCCATAATAGACGACGCCGCTCACCGGCGTCGCCAATAATTAGATAAAAATGTAAATTTATAATATTCTCATAATTTATATTAAAGTATCAAATGATGCTGTAGTGTTTACTACAATGAATAATTTCTCATCAGTATATTGGCAATTTATTTTGAGGCAGTAATTTTAAGGAAGAAAACATGTCTAATTTATGTATTAATTAAATAACATGAAGACATTTTACGGACACAAGATGAAAAAGTAAATGTCCATTAGGATTGCTATATGAATATGACAATTTAATATAACTTCCAACTGTCTGTCAATCTAACATACACATGTAGCTTATTACTACACATTACATCATAAAACTTGTAAAAATATGTCCAGCTTGTCAAAACTGTGACAATTAATTAGCAAAGACAACGTCTCAAGACAGTGAATAACAAAGTTTAACATTTCTACATGTTAAAAAGTTGCAAAGGTGAGATATCCACTTTTCTTTTTCTTATTAAAATATACATGTACTTATAACAAGATCATAATTACATTCATCTCATCAACAGTTAATTTGCAATTAAACTTCAGTATACATATGTGCAATATTCAGTGACAGATAATTCACTTGTAAATTTATATCTTATTAATTAACACTGAAAAAATATATCATAAAATTAATGATAAATAATCATTTATAATCTTTAAAGTCTCTGTTCAGATAAATGCTCAGCATTTTCAGAGTTTAATTTTACAGGTCTTTGCTGGAATTATAGACGCCAAATGTCTCTATTAACTAAGGTTCACCATTAAAGCAGGAACACATAAACAATGAGAAAAAGATATATTAAAGTTTTACATATAAGAATTTATTAACTTTATTTGACATAGTAAAAAAACTACAATAGATCAATGAAATAAAGAAACAGCAACTAAGATTACCTTGTATATAAGGGATAAGTAATAGAAAGAGCACCGAAACACGAGGCTATCTGATTTGTACGAGGGGGCGTAGCCCCCGAGTATAAATCAGATTGCCGAGTGTTTTGGTGTTCTTTCTCTTTTGTATCATAGTCAAACATGACAGCACGTTCCCTGTTGTCATAATATGAAACCCCAGAAAAAAATAACCAATGAACGAGCATTTGAATACAATAGTTCTGCCCCTTTCCCTTTCTCTGCCGTCACAATATGTAAACCCCGGCAAAAATGAACCAATCCACGGGCATTATCTGGAGTGCGGGTAATTGATACCCGCACTCCAGTTACCGCACTGTGCATGTATATGTATACGATTTAACTCTTACACTTTTTCAACAGAAAGGTACCCAAACTATGATACAAATGAAAGTTAAAATGTAGTAATCAAGACCCTACTGAGAGAACTGCATTTTTGAAACCAAAATAATCATATTTACATTTAACTATGAAATAAATACTTTCATTAAAGAAATAAAAATAGAAAGCAAATTTATAATCAACATTTCTTAATCCCTTCCACACTAAATTGAGTTAATTATCCTTTATTGTAATGTTTGTCATTACCAATCCATATAGAAAAGTCATTCATAGGTACAAATGTACATAAACAGGTGGAATTATTTTCATACTGGAATAATCAGACTTTAAGTATGGCATTTTATTGTCATGCTTCACTACCATATTCAATGTAGATAGTTATGTAACAAGAACTGTTGGAGGACAGTAAGGCTCGACTATTCGAAAAAGTAGTCACAATGGTGTTTTATTGAGTATAATAATGCTTACCTATGAATACATAAAATTCACCAGAAAGGTACAAAAGCTTGTTATTAAGATGTTTTATCAAGTAAATCACTGCTTTATTATTATGAATTGCATAAAATTGACCCAAAAAAGGCACAAACCCTTCAGTAGTTATGGAGATAACAGCTTACAAGCTGAAAACGGGGAGAAAAATCAGCCTAAATGCAAGATAGAATTATGGATCTTGGTCAGTAACCTACAATTATGACCCTAAACAGCTAAATGCATATGTGAAGTTTTAAATAAATATCTTTGAAATTTATTGAGATATGTAAAACTTGCATGTAAACATTAACCAAGAGACTAAGTAGAAAAGTGGAGATAAATCAGCTTAAATGCAAGATAGGGTTATGGAACTTGGTCAGTAACATAAAATTATGACCCTTCATGGCATTGCATATTTGAAGTTTCAAATCAAAATCTCTGATAGTTATTGAGATATGTAAAACTTACATGTAAACATTAACCAAGAGACTAAGTAAAAAAGGGGGATATAAAATAGAGTTGGGTACCGCCAGAAAGAATGTACCACGGTTTTTCCTAAAAACCACGGCATAAACCGCGGTATACCACGGATTTTCGTTGTATGCTATAGGTTAATTTTTATCCCTAAAATAAGTATCAAGGTAGGCGGGTATAGAATTTCAAATATTAAATTAAAGCAGATCTATAAAATACAGATTAATCAAAGCATTATTTAACTTTTTTCAATCAGGTACTTTCGCATGTTGACAATCATAAATTAATTGGGTCATGGATCAGTTCTTGTTTTTTTTTATTACATATTGGTCTCTTTCAACATTTAACAACTGTTATATAAATTGCATAGTTAAAATGGAAAAATAAAATGTTTTTATTGCTTATTGATTAATAAAATAATAGGTCAAATGCACGTTAGCCGATGACAAATATTTATTTGTCGGTTAATTTTATAACAGAGTCCCAGCTGCTATTGTAATTTTTTTATTGCAACGGCTAAGTATTTAATTAATCTGTGTCAAAAACCAGAACAAACATATGTACCCCAAAAGCAAATTAAAATTATCACATAGAAAACAGCTGACCATGTTACTGCTTAATTAATATTCATTAGTTGAACGAACATTACTTTTAATCCAGTTTCTACGCCGTTCTATAATTAGTTAATTGCCATGTGCATGCAGTAAGTGCGTGACGTAAGGAAAACCCCTAGCCTGATTGGTCGCTATTTATATAAATACTTAAAATAGTAACACCCTAATTTTATGCAAGGAATGCCCTCATGAATTATCAATCTTTAAGATTAGTTTTCGTATCAAATAAGCGATATTTGGACAAGTAAATGTAAGTCGACAAGTCTTGCTTCTTCAACTGAGATCATGCAAGTCGACAATTCTGGCATACATGCGGTAATCGATAAAGCATTTAATTTTCGCTAAGAACTATGAAAGAATGATAATAGTCGGCGAAAGTTGTTTGCAAAAAGGTTAACTCAAAGAAACATTAACATATACAACAGAAAAAGTTTTTTAATTTAGTACATTTTACGGATCTGTAATTGCTTTAAATTAGAGCTAAAAGTACCGGTTTTCCTGGTCTGTACCGCGGTACGTACCGCAGATGTCTCGGACCGTGGTTTACCGGTATACCGGTTAAACCGCGCACCTCTAATATAAAATAGCCTAAATACATGACAGAGATATGAGTGCTGTTCAGTGATCATTATATATGACCACAAATATACATATGAAGTTTCAAGTTTGTATCTTTAATAGTTTCAGAGATATGCAAAACTTGCACGTTAAACTTAACCAAAAAAGGGGAAATTTTTTTTGTTCAACAGAAGTCAATTTTGTTGGTCCCCAACCAGTAGGGAGATTAAAAGTTTTGACATCGGTCGAATCTGTCTGAAGGTAAAATTCTCTTAAAAATCTTTTATCCACACTGGAACCTTAAAAGGTGGGACATGTAAGGCACGGTCAATTGGCAATATTTAAACTAAACCACTGTATCTTCCCTCAATTCTAGTTCCCATACAAGGAACATGTGAGTTATCCTGATAATTTATGGCAAAAAGGTAAACACAGTAGGGGTCCAAGATAGATCTACATGATTTAGCTAAGGCATGTGTAAATAATTTATTGTCTATACCTGGAAGAGTTCTTTCAACAAGAAAATCATCTGCAAAGAACCATCTACAGTTATCTAGCGAGCCTGTTGACGAGAAGCCTCCCGTACAGTGCAGCCAGAGTCCACAGTCACAGTCCGAACACTGGCAGAGCATATCACCTGATTTTCCATCAAATTCCATCCAATTTGGAGTTGAAAACGCTACTATTGTAGCAACAGTAGTTATCAAAACACATATTATTGCTGTAATAGCTGCACAAGAAGCCATTGTCATAAATAACAGAAAAAGTCAACTTAAAACTCGTTAATCACAACTTCTATTAAACTCACTTCCGCTCCAAATATTTACGGTTGACGTCAATAATACAAATTGGGTTTTCACAGTTTAGACGAAATCTTTTATCGCCATTAAATACTATTGTCGTTATTCCCCGTATTGTCCGATTAGAGATTTATATCGCTGAGAATTCTGCGATATTAAATATTATCTAAATGAATTTTCATGACTGAATTTCGAAACTTCAATTATAAAGCCCATTAGATCTCAGTAATAACACGGATTTACATTATAAATATAAATCCGTGGTAATTATGATTTTTTGGATGATATGCAAGGTGTTCCGAATGAAATATTGCGCGAGTTTTGGGTTTCAATAACTCTGGGGGCCGTTTTATCAACGTGTCGTAGTCTACGACAATTTTTTGTCGGTGTCGTACGTCTGCGACAACGTCGTACGACCGTTTTATGAAACGTGTCGCAGACGTTGTGTTTCTGCGACGTCGCAGCCTTTGTCGTAGACAATAATTCTTGCGAGACACAGTCTAGCCAGTGCGCGTTTTGACGTCACATATGAAATCAAAGTACTTAAAGTACTGAACGAATTTACATGACTATTATCAAACGGATAAATTTACGTGATTATTAGAAAATGGATAAATATTTTTTAATGTCATTAAAAGAACAAATTTAGTGAGAAATACAGCATATATTTTCTGCAATCGATTCAACCCTTAAAATACTAAATCACGCTACGGTTCCACCATTAATGCCGGGTCTGTACTGAATGCTAAAGGCGCATTATGTCTCAGTCTAATCAAGTTTCTGAACACGGGTTTTATAACGTTTAAATAACTTTTTCAAAGCATGCAGCCGCTTATGACTTGAAGCGGTGAATGTAAAACTATTAACCAAAAATGTCAACAAAGTAGTATTTGACTTTTATACAAAATACTAAATAACTATCAAAACTAAATTGCCAAAAATTAACAGACGCAAAAGATGGAAACGACCGATAAGCCACTTTTGGAAATTAAAACAGAAAACTAAAAATCAAAAGCGTTTTTAAGAAACGCCAAAAAGTATGTTAATAGTACTTAAATAGTAAATTAAAATTTAAATAGCACCGGGCTTTTCAAGTGTATCGTGTGGCGATCAATCGGAATGTCACGGCTATTATCTATAATAACATCGGAGTTAATACGGATTGAAAGTAGTTACACCACGTAAGGAATACGCACATTTCAACTGATTTTAACGAGATAAGGTGCAGAGTAACCGTGACTATATAAGCTACCCACAGTATATAAAAACTAAAAAAATTATAACCTGAAAGCATTCGAGTATAGCCATTTTTCATAGTATTTTGCGAGAAATACGGTACAGACTCGAATATATGAACAAGCGAATAACTAGTCCCTTGTTTTTCTAGTTGTTTGAAACAAAAAATATAATATACATGTATAGTATAGATATACCATTGCCAATGCATCGAAATAATAAATTGTTGTTTTGATTTTTTTGTTTATTTCGTTTTTAATTGAAACGGAACACGCTGTTTTGTATTCTGTTCCAATTTGTAATCTTAATGAAATATTTCTATTTAAGTGTCATGTATATTTATTTGTTAGTGTTTTTTCAGAATTATATTAATTGTTTAAAGGTATTTATACATATATTTCATGTAGTATTCTAAATAATCCCCTACTCCCGGCATTGTAAATACAGTTCGTGTACTATATTTTTTCAAGTCTTAAAAAGAATTAAAATAAATAACTGGGGAGGTCATCAGACCTCTTCACAGTGTTCAGACTGATTGCTGGCGGCATCCATTTTTGCGTATCTGATTGTAGTGAATGAATCTCATTTATAGCGTAAAATCATTAGGAGCAGTCTACAAAAATGGTTTTGCGCATTCGACTTAACTTAAACGAAAAATAAACATCGAAGTAAACAAATCGGTACGTAGAAAAAACGGAGAATTTCATTTACGTCACTTAAAGCTACGTGGATGTTTCATTCCGTTTTAATCTTTTTAATTGTATAAATCAATTACCGTATTGTTTTCTGAATAGCGTTTTACTATTTCATATTCCGATAAATAGTAACAGTGAACATAACAGGTACAATATCACCATTCAATATGACCGAGAGAACCGTGTACCGAAATTTTGCTGCTCCTTAAACTTTTGAACATGTACGACTTAATTACGCAACGGAGATTTTTTTGCTCAAATGGCACAAATTTTACTCAAGATTTTCCTCAAATATCAATTGTGGTTGGAGGCATCAAGCTTTATATACTGTTTATTCCAATCAAATGATATAAACATTTTTATGTAAATTATGGGACTTAAAATTGATGAACATACTTTATGCCCGTTTTGGAAAATGTAGAGGAAATGTTTCCGTATACTTAACAAAACATTAACCGAAAATGTGCTTATTGAATTTTACAAGACACTTTTATTTTTGATACTACTTTTAATATAAATATATACATGTGTTTATCATTTATTTTAGATTTAGTTTGATGGCATAACACACATTATTTCCTTTGTAGAAAAAGTATCGCTTAAAGTATCTCCGGCATATAATCTTTCAAAACATTTTTAAAAAATGAAGTGTAAAACAAACTTTCATTATGATACTATATAATAATAAAGTCTTTTTTGTTAAATAATTGTAATTAATAACCATTCATTGTGTCATTTATGCAAAAAATATCCCCAAATATTTTCGAATTACACAAATCTCTCTCACAGCAGCAAGAAGTCCTCTCGCATGCTTCTTTTTAAAGAAGCAAACTTGTTAATATATCATGCAGTTTGTGCAGACTTACATTTTTGTTTTGCCTGTATTTCTAAAGAAAGTAGTTGTGAATGTGAAAGTATTAAAATTGTTACTGTAGCAAAATTTTGACTTTCATACAAATTACTAAATCATTAACACCGTTCTTGATTGGCAAAAATTAACAGAAGCAAACGTTAGTTCAGGTTAATGATAATGGAAATAAAAATAATAAAGAAAAATAAAAAAAATATAAATAAAAAAGCTTTACAAAATAAAAGCATTTCTAGGGTTTTATGGGCCTTTATGAAAGGATTTTTGCGCGTTAGAAACAATTGTAGCTGCTTTTTTTAGAAACGCCTAAATTGTGTTTAAAGTACTAGCTATCATGATAAAACCAATGATTTGTACATATGATTTACTTAAATGGCAGCCAATGTACTTTTTTGTAGTATGAAGTGTGGCGCACATTTTTACCCATTTTCCGAGGAATTCAGTACACACAAGATTTCAAACTAGTTCTGTTCCTTCTCGTTGTTTGAAATAAATATATATAATTAATCTTATAGATTTACTATTGCTAAAGTATTGAAATAATGAATTGATGTTTTGAAATATTTTCGTAAAGTTATATTAAGCGCACTGCTTTTAAATTGAAACGCCCCACGCTGTTTTTGTTGTAATTATTATAAAATAATTCACTTTAAAATGTAGCTATTTTGTTGTAACGGTTGTTTTAGTTGTTGTTGCGTTTTTTTTACGGAAAGCGGATTAATTTTTCTCATAGATTAGCCTGGGTTCCAATCTATCGATTTTTTATGTGCTTCTTGTCGGCAAATTGACATAATTGAGCCGCGTCATGACAAAACCAACATAGTGGGTTTGCGACCAGCTTGGCTCCTGACCAGCCTGCACCTCCGCGCAGTCTGATCATGATCCATGCTGTTTGCTTACAAACCATATAACAAGTAGAGAAACTGAGAGCGAACAGCATGGATCCTGATCAGACTACGCGGATGCGCAGGCTGGTTTGGATCCATGCTGGTCGCAAAACCCATTATGTTGGTTTTGTCATGACGCGGCTCATATATTGATACTATCAAAACCAAAGATGTTGTGTTACCTATGACGATCGAGTATTAAATAGCGCGTAAGTTAAGAATAAGCAAAAAATATATCAACGCATGAATCACAGGCTACTTATACATATATATACGTATATCTCATGTAGTTGTAGTATACTAAATAACTCCCCATCCGGAATTGCAAATTACGTAGTTACAGTTCGGATTCTAGATTTTTTTTTAAAAATTTAAAATGAATAATTAATACACCATGCAAATTGTGCAGACTGAATTATTGTATGTACATTGTATATTGCAGTTTACCATAAAATTTGATAATTTAAACATTAGTGCTTTAGATCCACGGTAACTTTTAGTTAATGTCGCCTTGTCTTGTTGATCTTTTTTATATTCTATTGACTATTTTTTTCTCTTTTTAAAATTGTTTTTCCGGAGTCATGACCACGGTAACTTTCCTGTTGACTTTATTTTATACCATATGGGTTTCTTCAAAGAAATATCTAAATTTATGTAAAATTTAGTTAAAATATTATGTGAAATGTATTAATGTGAAATAAAAAAGAGTTAATTTAATTTTTATTCTATTTTCCGAAGACATCTTTGGAACTCATTATTAATAGAATAGAGTATGACCGTAAAGGCATATTTGCTCCAAACGAACGATATTTTAGACATTTTTATAGGGTATAAGATTTGTATATTCTGTCTCTTTCTTATAGTTAGAGCGCATGTATAAAGTCCCTTTATAAGCGATTGACATTAAAAGAAAACAAATTGAAATATGTTGTTTTTTCTTTTTATTCTGAAAAAGTTATTTCATAAAAATTAATGTGCTGAGCATGTATACATGTAAACAGTGATCGCCAGTCTTGACGTTACAGTAACGTCGTACGACAGCCCTAACCCTGTCGTAGAGCTGCGACATTTTTTTACGACGTCGTAGGCTACGACAAACGTTAATAAAACGGTCTTAACGTTCTGCGACATGTCTGCGACAAAACACTAGCCTACGATGTGTCGTAGAGCGTTGATAAAACGGCCCCCTGAAGCCTACCGTTTTGGGCAAATCTGGGTGACTGCTGCGGCTAGACATACTATGGTACATGTATACCTTTCTATATCTATAGTCTATCAATAGTCTTTGCTTGATAAGGGTCCATTTACCCGTTAAGATACAAAAAACTTTCTATAGTCTATCCGATGTTTAATATTAAGCTTCGACATTTCACCAGTCATGCCCTTAAAGATTCAATTTTGAAGCACAAAGTGCTGATAATTCACCACAAATATACGAATTTTGAGCCGGAAGTAGGCCACTGTACAGTGGACACGTTAAGTTACAGTAACCTGAGAAAATATTGAAGGAGGTAGTCCTGGCCCTGACCTGCCTTTCAAACCGTCAATGCGCATTAAGGGCAAACGCACCTTCCTTCCGCGTCGTCCAAGGTCCAAATTACCTGCTGATACCCTATGCATTTACGCCGTGCACGTGCTAGATAGAGGGATGAGAGCGCAATATATAGAGGATATTCAAGTTTTTTTTAACACAGATTTATTTTCATCGTTTGGTATGAAAATACATATGTCACTTGTGGCTACCGCCACTCGTGAAATATTTATTTTCATGCCACCCTTTATTATATACTTATAAATGAAATATTGAGAAATATTGATGAAATAAAATGTGTATTTTCAGTTTCCGTATTTTCACTGAAAAAAAAATATTTTTTTCACTGCAGTGAAACATATTTTCCGTATTTTCACTGGTGTCTTGCCGGACTACTTTCTTTTAAATTCTGCCAGTACACAAAATTTAAGGGAAAGTCTTTCAAATTTTAATGTCAAAAATGAGAAAAATGTATATAATAAACAGAAAATTCAAGTTTTTTCCATAAATACATGATGTATTTTCATCTTGTGGCATGAAAATTATCATATTTCACTCGTGGCTACCGCCACTCATGAAATATTTATTTTCATACCACTCGATGAAAATAAATCATTTATTTGTAGAAAAACTTGAATATCCTCTATTTACTGATTCACCGCTAGACAAAATAACGTCTGTTGCGTAAAGACGTCATGACGTCACACGTTGCTAGAAATATGATTGGACGGCGCATCAATTGATTGTGACGTAACAAACGGAACGTAGTTACAGCAATTGAAATGTCGCACACTTACAGTGCAGACGAATATATATGTTGTTAAAAGTTAATAAGAGACAATATACCTGCAAAATGGAAGGAAACCTGGCAATTGATAACCAGCGTGTAGCGAAAAGCACATTTAAAGGTAAAATTTCTACATTTATCTGAATGAGAATAATTATTGTAAAAAGAAATATATCCGTTAGTACATATTGGCATTCCGTTTCTCTTTAGGATGAGAAGTTTTTACATAAAACTGATATGGACATTAACGCCTGCTTAGCGTGATGGTCCCTACACGATTTTGAAGCAGTAACTTAAGATTTTCTGGTCTGCATGATGGGTAAGATGCACGGTAGAGATGAATATAATCTACTGCTTATATAGTTTCATATATATGGCACAGGATGAGAAAAAGCAGCCTGACCGGATCTCGAACCCTGGACCCTCGGAATACCGTTCCGCGGCTATAAGGAGATTCCCGGCCTCCTACTTATCTTCTCCCCTAAATAGTAAAAGTTCTGAACCATGTCAGCTTTGCATTATAATAATATGATTCCTAGGTATATCGATAAAAAAGATTCTGTTATACAGTCCGCGTTCATTCCTGAGTAAATATTGAAACAATTATTGTATTATACAGTCCGAGTTCATTCCTAGGTATAAAAAGAAACATTGAGCCTATTGAATTATACTATCAATGTTAATTTCTTGGCATATATAGATATATTGGCCCTCTTATACAGTCCGCTTTCAATCCTGGGTATATAAATAGAAGCATTTGCCATGTTTTATACTATCCACGTTCATGTCCGAGTTTATATAGAAAAAATGACCATTTATGCAGCCCGCAGCCATTCTTGAGTATATTTGTAAAAAAATGCAGTCGGTGTTCCTTTCTTGGTATATATATTTAAAAATTGGCCATATACAGTCCGCGTGCATTCCTGGATCCTAGGTGCTCTATCATCCTTTGTGTATTTTCTGGGTTTATCTGGAAGAATCAATTCTCATATTAGCCTATGTTAATGTATGCGTGCAATTTTTTGAATCCATGTTTATCTTAGTAATTTGATCCATCGTTAGAAATATCGCTCTAAATGATAAAGTACAGCTCGATCCGAGAGAAACACTGGAAAACATTTATAATACTAGTAATTTGTCGTCAATGTTAGTGTTAAATAAGAGAAGTTTCCGAAATTTAAAAAAAAAGGCCCATTTTACAAATTCTTTATATATTTTTTCCTTACAGATATTCTCATTAGTCCAAACAATGATCACATCATCATTCCAATCAGTGCGACGTTCGACAAAGCCGTATTACACATTGGTATAGGAAACGGATCATGTGGTATATTTATAGAGAAGTTTGGTTTGAAGAATGGCAAGGAGTTGGGAACTTCAGTGAAACATGCCACCCGAAAGTTCACAAATGCTCGTAATCAAAGGAAAAACAAAGGAAAAGACACGAAAGCAAGTAAAAATGAGGATATAAAGACGGTTGTAGATGAAAGTGGTGAAAATTTTACGAGAGACTTTCCAAGTATGACAGAGATTGAAAGACAGCTGGCTAAGCTAATCGACCACTTTGTGGTTAAGGCACCGAAGAAAATCAAAAATATTAAAGATAGAATATCAGACACTAAACCTCTGAAAGAAAGCAAATCTGTAAATATCGAATGCGACATTGCTGCTACTGATGAAAGTGTCCAATCTACGAAAGGAACAGTTTTCACATCTAACATCAAAAGTGACTTACGGCGAAAACCAAGGCATGACAAAGAAATTGCTGAAATTACCACACACAGTTTTGATCATCAAAACCTGATTGAGCCAAATATGAACATTCATTTGTATAAACGCAATGAAAAAAGTTTAAAAGCAACGAAGATAACTTCATTTGAAGCCATTGATAAAGCATATGAAAATGAAATGTTAGGGATTGCAATGGATAAAGAAGCAGGTGTCTATAAACCAAATTGCATTCGGCCAATAGGATTTCCACTTGCAGATGATATGCATGTATATCTGAATGAAGTATTCGTAATCTCAAAACGATGCTCTCAAATGTTTGACGAAATTGTTTCAGCAACTAAAGAGAAGAGACGAAACGACGAACAACTAGAGGATATATCCGGAAGCGGTCCAACAGGTTTAGTTATAGATATAAATAAAGATAACACAGTAGCAGACATAAATTTATTTGGAGACGTTCTAGACAAAGACCAATGTTGTCCAATTTCATCTGATACAATTGTAGATAGAGCAGCCGATAACGACAGTGATACATTGGATCGTATCAACCCGTATACGTCTGAATCAGATGATTCAACAATTATAGATAGAGGTGCTGTTGGTGAAATGTTATACAGTGACACACTAGATATGTTAGATATAGAATCGGATGAAGATATTGTAGACATCGAAGCAATAGCTCTTCAAGAACAAGACGAAGTAGATATACTATCACCAAGGAATGACACTGCTGACAACTCTACTAACGATAACGGTATGGTTGACGATGATCATAAACTGTTTGGTGTGATGGGCATCTACATAAATAGTGATCTACACTTCGACTTACACAACGTAAGTGATTTGGGCACTAAAAAGTTATGTTTTATTTTAAATGCATTTGAACGATTTTCCAGCATTTGATCTGATACACGAGCACAAAGAATCACATTTTATTTATTGTAAGCAAGAGCGTTGTATCATTTTATTGGTGTTTTATAATTTGGTTTTCATATTTTCTATTTTTTTAAAATGTATCCCTTATATTGTCAGAAAACCTAGTTTTGGTGAAAATGTCCGGTAACTTGATTTTGTTTGGTTATTTATTTATTCTATTATTCATTCATTCATTCATTCATCCATCCTCCCCTATTTTATTTTATTTATTGTATTTTATTGTATTGTATTGTATTTTCAGATGCCAGACTCAGCCGAGCACTGTGACCAGAAGAAAGACTTGGGATATAAATTCTTTTCATTTTCAACTTTCTTTAAATAGGCAATAAATATGAGAAAGAAAGATATGTTATTTTTTATTTCGCTATGGATGGTAGATCTGTATAAACCTAATTCTGTGCGAAATCTTACGTTACTTTATAGATCGATATATGTAGATCTATAGCTATACATATTTTTTGAAAGTATATAATTGATTCAAATGGATCATATAATGGGGGTTTTGATTGAAAATATAAGTTTAAACAGCAGACGTCAACATCGGACAAAAAAACAACATTTGGGTAAACCCCTTTTTATAGGCTACACATATATATAGATAGCAGCAAAAAAAAAAGTATACATATCTATGTAATTATGTATAAATATCTACTGAATTTTGTACATGAACTAGAATCTAGCTTCCATATTTAGAACTGTCTATAATTAAGGTTTGGTGATATCAAGATGAAAATTTCAAGTTTAAACCTGCCAACATTAGCTGACAGCTCTATATAAATCTTGGTCAGCCAGCACTGATGAAGTATGGCTTTATAGATCTACGTTAATGATCTGGTGGCAATGGCTAATCACTTCCGGATCCATCAAGGTAATGCAAAGATGGGGGACATTTTCGTATTTTATTTCTTTAGGAGTGCCGTCTTGATTAAATAGCTATTTAGAATAATATCATAACAATAGCAATGGTACTTGCTTCCGTTACCTTTAGTGACACACATTAGTCAACGCGTCAGGCGTCATGGCGTCACATAATGCCGGCCTTTTTCCAAAGAATATACTTTCAGTATAATCGTTTAGTTTCGTTTAATACTATTTTATTGTATAAGTATACATACAATATACAATTTCATAACTTAATAGACATAATCAAGTGTACATACAAAAGGATTGGGCCAAAAGTTCTAAGTGGGGCCTTCCCTTCAGTATAATCGAACAATTAGTAGATCGAAATATTTTTACTAGTAATTTAGAGAAAAAAAACAACCTTAAAGTGATTATGACTTTTTTGTATATATATTCAGCTAGTTTTAACCCTTTATCTTTATAAATACTGAAGTGTAAGTGATGTAAAATTATAATCAAAAAACATTTCTAAAGCATCGCTTTTTTATAGTTTTACATTGTCAGGGCTTTTCCTTTTCTATAGCAGGGCCATTTAAAAGCACCTGCCTGGCTGGAAAATCTTTTTTTTATAGTTTTACCCTAGAAATCAGTAAAATGTAAGTTGAATTTCTTCGACTTTTGCAAAAATAAAATGTAATTTCAACACAAATTTAATAAAGTCTGAAACTTTGTGAAAAATATTTCAACACTTCCATTTCCTGGGGGAGGACCAAAGATCCCCTTATAGGGAGGGGGGAAGGTCAAACTGTCAAACATAAGCCCCAAGCCAAAAATGTCTGTATCCGGAACTATTTTCAGACCCGTCAATAATAAAATGTTTGTGGGATTTATATCCGCCCATTTCTGTTTATTTATTACTCATCCAAATAAATATTATTTTCAAATGTTTATATCTAATTATATCTATGTTAAGGGGAAATGATTTTTTGTTGTTGTTCCTGTCCTGTCCCGTGCTTTAAAGGACAATCCGATATTTTAAATGAATAGAAAAGGGGAAATATGTTCTTTTTCTCATATGCTTCGATATAGATCTAAATTAAATGAAAGGTAAACTATTTTATTATATACTTATAAATGAAATATTAAGTAATATTGATGAAATAAAATGTGTATTTTCAGTTTCCGTATTTTCACTGAAAAAAATTTATTTTTCACTGCAGTGAAACATATTTTCCGTATTTTCATTGGTGTCTTGCCGGACTACTTTCTTTTAAATTCTGCCAGTACACAAAATTTAAGGGAAAGTCTTTCAAATTTTAATGTCAAAAATGAGAAAAATGTATATAATAAACAGAAAATTCAAGTTTTTTCCATAAATACATGATGTATTTTCATCTTGTGGCATGAAAATTACCATATTTCACTCGTGGCTACCGCCACTCATGAAATATTTATTTTCATACCACTCGATGAAAATAAATCATGTATTTATAGAAAAACTTGAATATCCTCTATGTATATAAAGAAAAAAGTTTGAATTTTCTGTTTAGTTTATATATTTAATTTTTCTCTTTTATTTGACCTTACAATTCTCAAGATCTCTGCTTTCAATTTTGTGTTTGGCTGAATTAATAAGAAAGCAGTCCGGCAAGATACCAGTGAAAATACGGAAAATGTGTTTTACTGCATTGAAAAATATTTTTTTACTGTGAAAATACGAAAAAGGAGAATACAAATTATATTTAATCAACAATTCTCAATTCTCAATATTTCATTTATGAGTATATAATAAACCTTTATACAAATACATAATATCACAAGTGAAATAAGTTCAATTGTTTAACCTTTTATTGATGCAATTGTTCTCTTTTTATAACAGACGTAATTAAATAGACCACTTCAAGGAGGTAATGGTTTTCAAAGTAATTTATCATCTCATAAAACACCTTTTATATAACAGAAATAATGTCCGTGTCCGGTAACAGAAATAATGTCCGTGTCCGATAACAGAAATAATGTCCGTATATGAAAACAGAAATTCACATGCCGGAAAATATATTATAATATGTTAATAGAAAAAAACAACAAAAGGAAAAGATCGAAAGCTGTATATAACAGCAATGGAGCTTTATAATATACAGTTTATACGTGAGAGAAAATTGACCTGGCAAAACAGTGACATCACATGAGCCCTTCAAGTTAAACTTCCGTTTCTGCTTTGACCATGCTCTGGGACCATGCTTTCTTCTAAATGATGACTAATTTCAATTTTCCATTTTCATATCTCTAAATTGATATGCAGTTCAAATAATGAGAAGTTCTTGTTCCTTCAGCGTACTCGTGCAGTCAAAATGCCCTTACTCAAGATGATATAGATTTGACCCAATTTTTCGACCTCGCAATTTCCACAGAAAACGGGATTATTAACATTATAATACCAAACGTTAAAGGGTGTATGAGAGGGTCACATATGGATCGCCAAAATTTCAAAGATGAAGCTTAGCAATATAATGGTTATTCACTATGTAATATTCTTGCACAAAAGTGAGTTTATGTCCAGTAAAAATGCAGTAACAGATAAAATAACACGATCAAGTGACGTTGTCATGGTTATACCCGGTTTTAAATGCATGACACAGGCTGCCATATAATAATAGCTTACTGCAAAAACGGCCTCGTTATGCTTCTCCAAATCCCGCCAGAGACGTGCACGGAGAAGACCCACAACAGGTCAAGGTGTTGTTTGTTTTGTTTTTGTTGCTTTTTTTGGTTTCTTGTTAGGTTTTAAGTTGCACCATCACTGTTGAGGTCATATGGTGACTTTCAAACTTCATTGGTGGAAGAGGTTAAGGAATACCTCGGGTGCCCTTACGTGAATTATTTCAGGCACGAGCGGGCCCCCGAGTAGAACCACCGACGTTCCGAAAGCTCGATATACTTCGCCAAATCGCTCCCAAGGTGTGCACGTCACGGATAAAAAAACACGGTAGATCAAGTGCACGATTCGGCTACAACCAGCAGGCCGGCAAGGACGTCGTAGGTCTCGGACATTGGTTTATTCCGGCGCCGAGTATAAATAAAACAATAACAACGGCCCGACAGTTTCACTATCAAAACATAACTGTGAAATGTCTTCGCACTGTAAGCTTGTGAAAAAACATGTCGATACCAGTTTCTTTATACAAAAGAGAAATAATGAAACAAAAAATATTAAATCAGACGTATATTCTCATGCAAGAAAAGTGCTTATGCACTCTTATGCACCTTTTTTCGTGCATTTACATCTGCAAATTCCTCGCACTTAGTTAATTCCTCGTCTTGCATGATCGGGATTTGAATGCGTCCTCGTGCCTCTGCAGATGAAAACGAGGCGTATCAATCCTCTATTGGGTCAAACAAGATTAATTTATGTGGACTAACATTTAAATACCAGTATTGCTGGAATGTTAATGCGTTCCAGCATCTCTGATTTGGTCTATCATGTGAATGGACGGTCCAGCATCTGAGATTTGGTCTTACATGTAAATGCGTTCCAGCAGCTGATATTTGGTCCTACATGATAATGCGTTCCAGCTACTCAGATTTGGTCTTACATGTGAATGGACGTTCTAGCATCTCTGTTTCGGTCTTACATGTGAATAAACGTTCAAGCATGTCAGAATGGACGTTCCAACATCTCATATTTGGACGTTCCAGCATCTCAGATTTAGTCTAACATGCGAAAGGAGTTTCAGTATCTCAGATTTGGTCTTACACGGGAAAGGACGTTCCAGCATCTCAGATTTAGTCTAACATGCGAAAGGAGTTCCAGTATCTCAGATTTGGTCTTACACGGGAAAGGACGTTCCACTATCTCAGATTTGGTCTAACATGTGAAAGGACGTTCCTGCATCCCAAGTTTGTTCTTACATGCAAAAGGACGTTCCAGCATCTCATGATTTGGTCTTACATGTAAATGGACGTTCCATCATCTCAGATTTGGTCTTACCTGTGAAATTATGTTCCAGCATCTCATTCGAAAAAGAAATAAAGAAGTAAGAACATTTTTATGCAAGAAATATATGTGAATTTATGTTCCAGCATCTCAGGTTTGGCCTTACATGCAAATGACCGTTCTAGCATCTCAGATTTGGTCTTATATGTGAATTTATGTTCCAGCATCTCATGTTTGGTCTTGCATGCAAATGACCTAGCATTTCAGATTTGGTCTTACACATGAATTTTTGTTCCAGCATCTCAAATTTATGATATATCTCTTATGATAAATCATGATGTAGTTCCTAAACAATGTGTATGAAGCCATTGTTCTCTGTATTTTTAAAAATATTCGTCAGACAGACAGAAAGTCAACAGTTATTGAGTGATCACAATTGTTCACCCAGAGCACATTCTGCTCTGGTAGACTGAAAAGAAAACCAAGATACTGAATTTTCAAACATTTATATGAAAACAAAAATGTAATAAAATATGGAAGAATTAACAATGGGTCAAAATCACAGTCACTCTGTTATAACGAAAAATAAAAGTTAAAATAGGAATGATTTGCTACAGTATTATGAGTATACATGATTGCCTCACAATAAGCGCTGTTGTATATTTACTTATACCACTAAAAGTGTATAAAGTCAGAACCAATAAATATTTAAGTCTCTTAAAAAAAATAATTAAAAAAACACTCAGAAAAAAGCAGTCAATAGATGTATTGTGACAGAAAAATAGTCAAGGATCCTGTTTCGTTTATATGTAACATTTAATGAATAAAACCCTTCACCAATGATCATGTTTGAGAGATTCTTTTATGAGAACACAATTCAATATACCAGGTGATTTCCTTTAGATCTGAAAAGATGATTCTTATATACATATACATGTATATATTTTTGCAACTATATGTTGATTTAAACTTAAAATACAATTTTAAATTTATTTTTCTCTTTTAGTGTGATAAACCGACTTGTATCAGTGGTAGAAATCATATGACTTCAGACTTTTGTCAGAAAGTCACGTTCTTTACCCTATATAAACTCTACAAGAAGCTAGTGGACAGACAGCATCAGCAGAATAACCTAAATTCTTTCTTAACAGACATGAGTTGGTAAAACAATGTATCAAAATAATTACATGTACATAAAGTGAAGAGAAGAGCACATTTATATATATAAAGGTATTGTACTAAAATTTATTGATGTAAGTTGATGTAACTAAAATATTATTATGTACCATTTTCTCAGTTCTAAACTCTACTCGGATTAATTTTAATAACAAAATAGACAATGTAATGTGTAACAAATAAATCAAAATTTGCTTTGCCTTATGTTGTAATATGCCAGTATCATTCTGCAATTAAAATGGTAATTGACTTCAAACAAGGGTTATTTAAGAATACTGATATTAGAAATTATAACACTCCATTTGGTAAAACATGGAAAGTTCAGGTGAAACAGGTAACTTACATATCATAGAAATTATCAGAAAAATATTTGGCTAATCTCAAAGTTTCAACGAAAATATCTGATATCTATTCTGTTATTTTCAAAAGCCTTAATACATTCTTATTCAAATATTAACAAGTTGTTTTTTCTTAAAGATCATGATGACTGTAACAATAACTCTGATAAAAATACTTGTGTCAACATTACTTGTATTTTACAGACTATGGACATCCACAATGGCCTGCTTGGAAATCATAACTACAATCATTGTAGCTAGAACCACAAAATTCATCATCATTGTCATCATCATCAACATCATCATCATAATCGCCATCATTATAATAGTAATAAGGCTCATTATCATCAGCATCATCATCATTGTCATCTTTATTGATATCACTATCTTCATGTTCCTGTCTTGTTTGTTCATTTTGTTTATTTTGACGCCTAAAGAACCAGTCGTCTGGTTCCTCCCTGTTATATTCCCTATCCTCCCCTCTAGCCAGGAACCAGTTCTCCTCCATACTATTGGCTGGTTCCTTGCGATCATGTTCATCATTATTGTATGGAGCAGTAGAAGGACCTTGATTTTTGTTTTCATTTTTTTGATCATTGTTTGCTGGTCCATATTCACTTTGACGGTTGTTTTCCTTTGATGTTCTTGTTTGATCTAAAGGTTCCAATGTGCAGGTATCTTCAACTAAAGTATTCAATAATTATATTTGTACAGTTTTATATAACCTCACTGCATATGTAAAATTCTTCCCTAATTAACCTTACACTTTTATATGTACCGGTCCATTGAAATGTAATATCTAAATATTAATTGATAATTAGAACATTAAAACTTTGATACTGATATACTCATCCTACTCTATTGTTGAAGGACATTTATACCCTAAATAAAAATATATCATTAGACATTTGCCATCAGCCCCACCCCCCTTCCCCCCCTCACCAGTCATCAAAATAATATAAAGGTCAACATTTGCCCCCAGATTAAATATAATTTCAGTTATTTGCTGAATATGTTAAATACAGTGAAGGAGGGGGGGAGCAAATGTTTGAGTTAGTTCTTTATTTCACTACCTCATTAAAACTGTGTCTCTACTATGTCTGTGTGTAACAATTTTTTACCTCTCCCATGCCAAATTTTGACCTTTCTGCACTGTTTAGCATCACCACCAAAGACCTTGACCTGCCAACAACACAGGGATAAATAACAGTCATCTGTTACCATAACAACATCCAAGTTTCTCCACCACTGTGACTGACAACTTAACCACTTCAAATACCAAGCTGTTAACTTGTTTTTCTCCATTTGTTCATCATCACCTTTAACATAAAATACAGAAACAAGTTATGCAATTTATATTATAGTACTTAGTTACCTACTTAGTTAAAATTTCATATCTAACAAATTAATCTAAAACAGAATAGTTCTCATTTATAACTGGCAGAAAACCTACATTTGTTTCCACTCTTATATGTCTGTTAAAATCCATGTATTTTTTGTCATAAGAATTTTCTTTAATTCTCAAAATTTATAGTTTTTTATTAGTAGCTCTAACACTGTAAAAGTCATGATGGCAACTTTCCAGATTTACCGACGGAGGAAGACCTCAGTGCCCCTTTGTGCATTCAATTATGAGCAGGCATCCTAATAGAACTACAGACATTCCATAAGTTTCAAACACTGTTTCAAACAGTGAAATTACCAGTTTTATATCACTGATATATTTCTATAAACCACCGAAAAGCGTGTAATAAAATAGAATCATTTTAGCAACATACTGAAAATCATATTTGCCTTTATAAATCTGACACTAGTTCACTGAACACATTCATATGTTTAACAGAAATTCCACTAAATCATATTTTGACAATACAGTGATTCCTTACATCATATGATAAACTTCGTACCTTCATTGACAAGAATATTAACTTGCTGAACTTCCTTTTGTATATCCAGCACCTTTTGCGTATCCTTCAATTTTTGGAATTTCTTGGCATTCAATGCCTGTACTTGATGACTTAGCTTCACTAGTCTTACTTCAACACTACGATTAGAACTCGAAATATCATCTGAAATATAAGAATATCAATATTAACAATTTGATGAGAAGTAAAATCAGTTTTTCTATAAAAGTTATAGTGTGGTATTTCTCAATCATTAGCACAATTTTCAAAATGAAAGTAACAATTTTCTGCTGACCAACAAAACAGTAGGTTTCTTGTTTGCTATAAAAGTTGACAGGTATACTTTATGTATAAACAATTATTATTTTTACCTTCAGATTGATATGGTCTTCTCTTTGTGTTAGCTTGTGGACCATTACTCCATTGGCGAGTGTATTCTTTCCCTTTACGAAACCATTTCTTCATCTTCTTGGCCAGTTTGTTCTGAAATCTCTTACTTAGATGTTGGAACTTCCTTGAAAATGAATCGTGTAGGCGATACAAGGTCGGCTGATGCTCGTGCCAAAAGATCTCTGACATATCCTTCACCTGAAAACAATGAAATATAATCTAACTTTTAAGTAACTAACTAAAAGGCAAGGAAAGCAAGTGCAATGATTTATTATTCCCAGGTTTTTATATTACAACAAACCAACAGAAAACAAGATTTGAAGATCATCTCTCCTATATGGAGGCTAGAGCATGACTATGATAAATATACTTTCTGCTTACTGAAAAATGGTAAACTATAGTCAAGTATCTTGTGTTGCATTTTTTACATCGTCTACAGCTGATTAAAATTTTATAACAAATACATTCTCAAATTCTTGACATATAGACAAGTAGCAAGCTGATTTGACTGAAGGCTTTATAATGGCATCATATGTTGCTGCTCTAACTGTAAAGCTTGAATATGGTGAAAGGTCTTCGCTAATGGTAATTAACCATCCCATTTAGCACACTTCCTACACTTACCAATAAAATTAAGACAGTACCTGAAGTACAATTCAATACAATGGGTTATGAGGAAGATGCTTTTTATTCATTAAGCCACCATTACCTATATTTATGATAAAAACCAATTTTTTTTTATCATTTTCAATTGTTTGGGTTTTAAGTTACACTGGCACTGTTAATTAAGTTCATATGGCATTTTTACAGCTTTTCTTGTGCAGGAAAACCTTATATACCCTTAGTGCATTATCATTAGCCCGGAACAGGCACCTGAGTAGGACTACAAATCTTCAATAAGCTAACTGAATTGCTTTTTGACACGAAAGAATTAAAACTCTATACTGAGCGGACAGGGGCCTGTTGTTTTAAATCAGAGACATTGAGGTCCCCTTGAACAATGAATATATCTATAAATTACTGAAACTTGAAAAATACCTTATCCCATGTATCCTGTATCTGTTCTCTAGTTTTATTCATGATCTCTAGGACCTTTTCTGCCAAAAAACTGCCATAGTCGTCTTTCTTGCTAGATTTCTCATCAGAGTTGTCTTCCTTGCTATTGGCATTACGTCTGCTGTTACTTCCTGTTCTATGAGAATGTTTCTCATTTCTGAAAAGACAAGAGCACCGCATGCACTCTGTAGCAGGCAACACGAAAATTCATGTCAGGGCATTAAATAATGACCTCCAATTACAGACTTGTATTAAATCAAAGTGAAAGCCTTCAGTAGTTTTGAGGTACAAAACTTTAAACAAGTATTTTCTAAGATCACAAAGGGCAATTTTTTACAGAAAATCCATATCAGAGTTATGGACCTTGGAAATTGACCACCAGTTATGATAATGAAGACAGGCATGCATTAATTTTCTAGTGAATATATTTGAAGATTGATGTTAAAAGAATCTTTTAAGTACACAAAGTTCTGTCATAATCCATGTTAGATTAGCCAGGCTAAAATGTTTAAATACATGTAGGTGGCATTTAAAAGGGCCAACTCAGAATATGACCAAATTAAACTGATAAGGCAAAACATTTTGGATGCTACACAATGAAGTAAACCTGACCATTATAGTTGACGATTTCACATACAGAGAACTAATTCCAGAGGTTTTAAATACCTATACTAATCAACCACCACCCTGAAACCTATAGTTAGTGACGGTTTAGTAAACAACCTCTGGTTTGACTGTCTCCTGTTGCCAGAATTGAGAATTTGTGTGTAGACTCATCAACCATGTGAACGTCAACTTCCTACATTTCCTCCCCAAAATTCTGTACATTCATTCCCATTTTTGTCACACTTTCCATCCTCAGTATTCTGGGACTGCGTGTACTTGTTCTTTGCTGTTGTATGCATAGTTAAACTATCTAGATTGGACTGGTAGTCATTCTTTATCTGGTCTAAATCAGATTGGTGCTGTTTTCTTATACGATCTAGATCAGACTGGTACTGTTTTCCAATATTATCAATTTCAAACTGGTACTGACTTCTCAAATTATCAGTATCAGTCTGGCATTGTTTTTGAACAGCTGAGAACTCCATATCAGAATTGTATTTATTACTTTCAATGTCAATTTTCTGCTGCTTCAATTCTTCCCCCTCTTTTAAACATTTGTCGAGGGACTGTTTAGTGTTAGCGCAATCAGAGGTAGACTGATCAACCTGACTTTGGAGCATTTCTATTTCACCAAGCAGATCTCTCTGTGCCTGCAGATGATCACGATCAGCTTCTGTAAGTCTCTCATTCTCTTTAACCAAGGCATCTACATTGTCACGTAACTTCATAACTTCTTTTTCTTTGTTACCAAGCTGCTCTAAAATTTCACTGTTTTCTTTTCTTAAAGCCTCCAGTTTTTGAGCAGAACTTTTGATCAGGGCTTTGCTGTCTGTTAGTAATAAAAAGTAGGAAATAAATACATGTAAACAACTAATCATCCTATGAAAACTGACAATTTTGTATTTTTTGTTTATTTGCTTTATTGCATTTTGTAACAATTTTGAACTGATGGCCAATAACCAGTATTTACTGGTGTTTTTTAAACATAAATAAATTTGTACCAACTTTGCCACCTTTATAATAACAAACATCAGAGGCCAACTTAATATAAATCATGTAGACATAAAATTCTTCAAGTATAAAAATTAACCCTTAACCTGCTGGAGATAAAAAAGCTTTTTCGACCAATATAGAGCCATGCTGTCTGACCAGGCTCTATAATGTGCTGACTATTCAATTTTTGTATATTGCTTTGAAATTTCTTTAACTCAGAATGGACTGTTTCAAATTCAAAGCCCGACGTGTTCATTACATAAATTCAGCAGGTTTTGGGTAAAACATGTAGTAACTTATCAGAAAGAATGCCATCTTATTTTACTAAACGTGAAAATTAACAGATTAAATCATTGTTGTATATGATTACCTAGAACATCTTTATCACATGTGTCTAATTTGATTTGCATTTCTTTCCTTTCACTGTGGCATTGGTGTAAAACTCCCAACTACAAGAAAAATTATATACAAATTATGTTTATATCCATATACGGTCAAAATCTACATAGGAATTGCTATATTTTTCTCATATTTCTTGACATAACATCTTTAAATATTATATATACTTAACAGTCTATGAAAGAGTATAAATAAATTGACATATATACAAGAATGTGATTATTAGAAATGTTTTTCAACTTACAAATCAAACAAACAGAATTGAATACAATATAAGGTTATAATTACCTCTTGAGAATCACCTTGTCCTGAAATAAATGAAAAAAAAAATATCTTCATTTTGTTTTTGTTTGTCTAGTTTAACACCAATGTCAACACATTTTTGGTCATGCAGTGGTCCACGTAACCAGCTTTCTGGAATATTAACCTACCAGTAATTTCTAATTACTTCACAAGTGACCAACTACTAGTCTCACATGATTTCTGAATCAGTGGTGGGGGACAAGTGACCATTAGACTCAATGTCCGAGATCCATGGTAAAGGATCCAATGGTTTCCTGAGGATCAAATCAGCCACCCTTGACTTACAAAGATGCTCCCTATTGAGCTAAGCAAGCAGACATCTTTAGTTTGTGTATGAAGAGAAAGAAGTGACAAAGTTTCAACTCTAATTATCATCATTATTATCACTATTATTAAAATACTGTTACCGATATTATAATAATTATCTTTAAGAATCATTGCTGCCTTTTTACAAAGAATATTACTGTTACACCTTGCTGTAAATGCCACTACGGGTAACCATGTGTGAATATGTACAGGTTAAAATCTCGTTTTGAAATGCCATTATATAACCAGTTTTAGTTTTGACATGGCTTATATAATCTACTAAGATTACTGTATTACCTTGTGTATGTATAGAGTAGACTGTTACAATGATAACTCCAGCATAGGCAACCAGTCCAATTAGAAATATATACTTCACAGGATACTCGAAAAACTGCGACATAAACTGCCAAAATCCACCTCCTGTTCAGTAAAATGAAAATAAGTATTAATCCGCTTCCTGTTCAATAAAATTAAAATAAGTATTAACACTTTAAAAACTTTACTAAGGCTGGAGCATTATTTACATCCAAAGGCAAGTTTGAAAAATAAATTTTAATCTGTCAATTATAATTGTATCCTTATGGTGACAAGTGTCAAGAAATTGTCACAAATAAATGTTTACGTACCTTGGCTTATGCCTTCATTATGTTATTGATAAGGCAAGAATATTACACTTAATTTATACTAATAATCACTGTGATCTAACCTTTGATCTATTGACCTCCAAATAAAAAGGGGTCATTTACTGGCCATGGGAAATGTCCCTTCTCAGTTTCACAAACCTAGACTTATTTCACCTCGAGATGATTGTACAAAGAAGTAAATTGTTTTCAGAGATTTACCAATCCTCTATGCAGTGATCTCCCCTTATCAGTACAGAGATCTCTGCCATCACAAACATTTAAATATCAATATTTTGATAATTTTTAGCTTTTTAATTTATTTTTCAATATTTTGTATACTTTGATAATTTTTTGATAAAATATAACGGACGTAGGTACGAAAAGTTAAAAAATGAAACAGAAAGAGAAAAATGACGTTAGATTTTCTATGTAACGGTCGATATATTTCCATTTGAATTTCGACATTACGTCGTGTGACTTTAATCATCATGTGACATCTGTGAAGGCAGTGATGACAATTCTGCCAAGGGAGGTTATCACTGTGAGGAGTTTGGAGATTTACCAGATTGGTGTCCAGGGTTGATGGTTGCAAGTTCTGAATCAGCTTCTATGGTATCACAATATACTAGGCTACCAATGTTTTCCTGTTTTGTTGGTGTGTTATTTGTACAGGTCTGGTCACTGGTACCCAGCATCTCATCTACCTCAGGTGTGATCTCTCTATCTAGATCAGTCTTGTTCCCTGTACCATCCACTAAACAAGATGAACCGCCAAGTAAAAAACAAGCTGTACCTGTAAATATCAAGACATTTTTTTGTTACTAAAAGCAATTGGGATTTGAAATTACTATATAAGATAAAGAGATAAATAACTAACATTCCTGACTTCAAAAACTAACACCTGTAAAGACTATATACATGTATATGTATAGTATTCTTGTTGCATCAAAATTCAGTTGTTTTTAACCCTGAAATGTTTCAAACAAAAATGTTGCCATATTATTTTCATATAATTTCTTTTGTAAACTAACTAGTTAATAATATGAGTAATGTGAGAAAGAGTACATATTCCAGAACCTGAAGGCTATTTGAAAGAATCCAAAGTCATTATCGGAATTTGAACCCATAGTGGTGTGAAGTAAGTGATTTTAAATCAGGATCAAAATAAGTACACAGATGATTTTAATGCAAGTACCTGTATCCCTTGACAAGAAACTATAGCTTGAGCTAACAGAAGAACCTTGAGATAAACTGTCATCTATCTTGTTGCCATGGAAACCACTGTTTTCTCTAAAACATGAAAAATACACTTAATCTTACACCAGGCACATAATTTTTGTTTGTTAATTTATGCCAGTTGTCAGTAAGAAGACCTTGTTAAAACACACTATACCAGAAGAATATCGAGGACTCCTCAACTAGAGAATGCCATAGCTTGCTTTCTACAGATGCTAAAATTTCTATCTACTAATGAACCTGTTAAGATGGCTTAGAAAGTTTTCAGAATAATTTACATACAAGACACAGTTTTTGTTATAACCTTGGAATAATTCAATTTAATGTCATATCAGTCTTTGTTCATTTCAATTTAAATGTTTTAAGAATTAATATTAACATCTTACTGAATATACTTATTCATCTTTTTTGCTAAAAAAGTATCAATTAATTAATTAATTCATTCATTATTAATAAGTGATGATAACTCAACAGTAATGACTGAATTATAAAGTAAATTCACATCAACAATTATCTCATGACAACTCCCACGTCTTGACATTACTGTTCTATATTTATCTTAAATTTCAATACAAACCTTTCAGGAGGCAGGTGATTGTCTGTTGTCACATTATTTTCATCTGAAATAAAAGATGAGTCAATATGGCTATAAAAGAATGAATACATCTAGTTTACATAATTCATGCATTCTAATAACAGGTAAACATCCTATCTAAGTAAACAAAGTAGTTGCGCTCCTTTATAAGTCTGAGCAAAAATCATGTATAACATTAATAACACTGTTACTACTGAATTCCTTTTCAATCTTGGATGTCATTTTTTTATTTCTCAGTTTCCACTTTATTTATTGACACAGAACATGAGACTTCTTGAAAACAGGGTCCTGTGGTTCCAATACGACCCAAGACAAAAACTGTAATATGGCCTAATAATACATTTTTCTCTCAACATTTACAGATCAGTGTACATTTTTTACTGCCTGGACGTGTCACAAGCTATAGTGTTTCATTATAAGGTATGTGATATAAGTCCAAATCCTCTAACTATTAACAGAACATTTTGTTATTGACAAAGCTCGTAAAACAACAAATGTACATAAACAAACCTGATTTGCCGTCTCCAAAGAGATCAATAGAGGATACAGAATTGTCCTCTGCTTGGGACGGAAGCAAATTTTTCTTGAGATTGTCAATTGTTTGTCGAAGTTCCTCAATCTCCTCTCTGGATACACGAGCTTCCGGTGAACTCTGAAAGATGAAGTAACTAAACAAAATGATGCAAACAAATAGATTACAGGAAGTATAGACTGAATAGATTCCACCTTTTTTATATGGAAAATTGAATTGTTATAAAACTGAGGCGGACAGCAATTGCCTCCTTACACGTTTATTGACTTTCAAATCATGCTCACATTTTCAAAGCAATATACAATTTGTAAAGCTTAAAATGAAATCATAGTTCAGTATTTCTTCAACATGCTCTTGCTCTATTAAATCTTTGTTTGAAGTACCTGTTGAAATGATTGACCTGCCTTTACATGAGCTGGGGTATCCTTGGTAACCTCCTCTTGGGGACCTGAACATGTGACAGATTCTTGTTTGTCTTCATCTGTGTCAGACCCTGAAAATGAATTAAAACTCTAATTTGCAGTTCACTTGTGAAAATTAAGAGCATTCTTATTGGATTTTAAGATAAACTGCCACTATATTGTGGCAATTTTCAAGCTTTATTGGTGAAGAAAGGTTACACTCCTCTATTCACTATTTCAGGCACAAGCAGGCAGATGATAATAGAAACACCATTTGCATTAAGTACTGACTACCTGGACATATTTGACAGACATTTTTCACTACTGTGACAGAGAAATGAAAGGACATTATTCTGCTTGAGTTTAGAAAGAGTACCCTTCAGATGGGATGTTGTATCAAAATACACAAAATATACAGAATTTTAAGTTGAATCAACAGATATGTTATTCGTAAAAAATGGAATGTACCATCTTCATTTTGACTGGTCAGTCTGAGGATGAAGCGGGGAGTAATGACGTTTGGACTGCCAGCTATAGGAGTTACAGCTTCAACATTGGTTTCATCATTTCCCTCATCTACAACCTCAACAGAGCTGCTTGTACTTGCAGTTTCATCATCCTAAAATAATGATAGAATAATTTTTCTTCTGAATTTACCATTAAGTTAGTGTTACCACTGCCTATTTATAATGGTAAATTTATGTTTTCAAATTATAAAGCAAAACATAATAATATGATTCTAAATATTAGAAGTGCAAAGTTCTGGCTGTCTTATGTGCAAGGTATAATGAAACTTTAACACAGAACTTTACTTTTAAAGCATCAGGTGTCCTGTTCATTTGTTCCCTTTCTTTACAATGGAAATAAGAGTTTGTTTTAACCCTTTTTGTCTAGAACTTTCAATAACAACATAAAAAATAGAGCAAACTTTAAAGCTTAATTGGTATGACTGTGTTTATTATGCATTTATCTATAGGTCTATAATATTAAACTTTTATAAATTCCTACATTGAAGAAAATTCTTAGAGATGATAACTAAAGTACAAACTGGCAATTCCCCATGGCTGTCAACCATTGACCAGTCTGAAAGAGCACTACTGTCTTCAGCTTCTGAGGTAATTCTGCTTTCACCAGTGTCAGACATTGCGCAACTATCTCCAGAATCTGACATCATGTATGTCACATAGTATGCTGAAATATAGCAAGATGGCCATCTCTCAATCTCAATTTCTTATTCATTTCATGAATATAAATAAATTAACATATAAAAGATACAAAACAATTACAAATTCAAATTGACACAATTTTGATGCTGAATTAATTATAATATGTTGTTGTTGTTTTTTTCTTTGAAAAATTACCAAATATGAGAGAGTGACGAATAAGAACAGATTGTGTGACTGTAACCAGAGACATAGATAACAGATCGAGATAGGCATATGCAACTTCCTTGTCAGTTAAGATACCATATGTGTTAGCTTAACTTAAAACTTGCAGCAAGTAAAACTTATTAAACAGATATCAAAATCAGTAAAATAATACATTTTTTGAAAGCTTATGCATTTGTCAATGGCTGCAGGTAAAAACATTTACAGTTCCCATTTAAATAAATGATACAATAATTTTCAAAGAGAACAACTTCTTAATTTTTATTACAAAAATATTCATATGACAAAAAAACTGGCTCAATGGGTATGTTCTGCAATGTTTTTCTAAGTGAAAGATATGGAAAGCTACCAATATTTTAACATGCAGCAATAGATAAAAGATTTAACTTTCAAATGGTGTATAATATAAAATTAAGGATCAAATGTACATCCATTAAGTTTTATTTGCTACAAAATGCCTACTTTTTCCAGATTTTAATAGGCATGAGTGATATTGCAATGGAGTATATAGGAGCTGCTTATCTCTGTTATCTACATCTCTGCTGTAACTGACAAAATATTCAAGATTACAAAGTGAAATTAGTTTCCGTTTTGAGCAGAGTCTTTCAAATAGATACTCCAGACCATTCTATTTGAAAGACACTGTTTAGAGGTTCTGAAAAGGTGGTGCTTTGATAACACAGTGTACATGTATACTTTTCATCTAATGCTCATATGCATAGGACTTCTTGTCCTTTTCCGTAAGTTTTTACCTTCTTGTGATCTTAGGATAACTTGACCTGAGACATTATGATTAACCTAATTTTTTACATACAGTAGAGTCTACTTACGTTATGATGACAGAAATTCATAAACAAATTAGTTTTATATGAAACAGCCATTATTTACTACATATACATGAGTGCATGACAAACAAGAGCTGTCCGTAAGACAGCGCGCTCGACTTTTTTATTGCTTGCCAATAAAAAAAGTTTTTGCAGTAAAAGGCAATACAAGAATCTCTGTATTTTTAAAGTGAACTAGTTGTTTGATACCCTTGAATATTACAGCAATGTTTATATGACATAATTTATGGTAAAGTGAACAAGTGGATAGGAATGAATTTTTTTAGATTTTTTAAGTTTTTTTAGTGCTTGCCTATAATACAAAACATTGACAGTTAAGGGCCATAATTCAAATAAAATCTTTGACAGAATTACCTTCTCCTGGACATGTTTGGGAATCATGATTGTAAACAAGTATTCCAACTTTCAAATTAATATCTCAAACAGTTCAGTCAAAAAGTGGACTGGTACTAAAAACTTAACCAAGATTCTAAGTCGATAAAAGGCCTTAATTTTTAAAACAAATCCTTGACAGAGTTACCTTCTCTTGCGTACAGATGGGGGTAATGATGTGAAATAGCATTAAAAGTTTCAAAGCAATATCTCAAAGGGTTAAGGCAATAAGTGGATTTTACCCATATTCAATGTATTTTCTAAGTCAAAAAGGGGCATAATTCTGTCAAAAACCTTGACAGAGTTATGTCCTCTTGTCTGTTGATGAAGGTCGTGATGGTAAACAAGTATGGTCAGTTTCAAAGCAATACCTCCAATGGTTTTGAAATAAAGTGAGGTGGTACAAAAAACTTAACCAAGCTCAATACACTTTCTAAGTCAAAAAAGGGCCATAATTCTGTCAAAAACCTTGACAGAGTTATGTACTCTTGTCTGTAGATGGAGGTTATGATGGTGAACAAGTATGGTAAGTTTCAAAGCCATACTTGTAATACTTCTGAAATAAAGTGGGGTGGTACGAAAAACTTAACCAAGGTGTGACGCCAACGCCGACGCCGGGGCGAGTAGGATAGCTCCCCTTTTCATAGAAAATTCGAGCTAATAAAAATGACAGCTTATTTAAAATATCTTATATCTTCCATACCTCTCCCTCTACTTTTGATGTTTCATGCTAGCATAAAAACGTAAATAAATAAATGTCACGTGACACAGGAAATTCGAATATTCCCATTAACGAATATGCATCATAAAACGTCAATGTGTCCACTTTCAATGTAATATCAACCTAAATCATGACTAAAAATTAAACATTATAATTTTGAATGTACTGGATTAATGGTTAAAGCAATAATTATCATCAATCTAACATATTCGAAGCTATGGTACAAAATTTAAAGGTTTTGATTGGTTGATTTTTTATCCAATTAAGAAATGCTCAGTGTGCTGACTTGACAGATGCCGGGAAATTCGACTGTGCACGTTAGAATAATAATGACCGTTATAATGATGATGATGATGATGATGATGATGACTGTGATGAAAAATTCTTTCTTCAGCAAATTCAGCTTGTCATTATAATACATCAAAGTGCCGTTTGAGTTAGATCTAGATCTAATACAAAAAAATATATTCAAAAACACGAAAGGGAAAATCTATACATACATGTACAGTTGTATCTATATAGTGTATATGGGAAAAAGTCACAAAACACCTCTGAAATTTCATCCCTCAAATTTTAAAGACACTTCACCTTCTCAAGACACCCGGCGCCCCACTCCTCCCCAAAATCAGTCTATCATCTATGGAATAAAGAGCTCTACAATGGGCATAATGTAATAAAATTTATAAATGAAAAATCTATATGTATGTTGTTTTTATAATTTTATGTTCGATTCTTAAAAGAGTTGTAACATAGAATGATGCTGTTATTTGAAATATGATAAAAAGAAATACAAACCATCACAGATTACCAGTACATGTTTGCTTTATTACGCTGCTTCAGTTGATATGATAAATTTATCAAAGGAAATGACGTAAACGTACCAAACAGACGTTTACGTTAAAAGACGCCACATTTGGCGCGTAAAAGAAACGTTTTAAAATAAAATAAATCGTCTATTACTGATCCATACAATACAAGATGTACATGTTTGTATAATTTATTATATAGACGTAAGTATTTTTTACGGACACATCATATAATGATGTCCAGTTAGCTCAATAGTGTGAATCGAGCGACACTTGTTAGATTCCCGGACGGTGCAGGTCATTGATCATGAAATCCTTCCTACGCTTATTCGCACTGAAGCTCTTCTCTGGCATGCTTTGTTTTATGCAGGGAATCTGTATATATGTTTTACATTTTTCGATAAGTGTTTGTATGCATTTGTGCTATGAACCCTTTATCGTGTTTTTGTTTGTCTTTTATATATTCTTTGTAGTTTCAATCACATGCATGTAATATGTCATGATTAAATAAATAAACTAAACTACAGAAGTTATCTGCAAAAGTAAAAGCAACCAGCACTGGTAAACGGCTTGACGTATAGTTTTGCGCATGTTGACGGCATATCAAACTATGAAAAATATCGATGATACCGGTACTTTGATATAAGTATTCTGTATAGTTTATATATGCCCTCGTTGCATGCACATCGCAGAGAAGGCACAGGGCATCGGACAAAGAGTTGGATCTTGTTTGATTCATCACCAATGATACGTTGACTGGTTAAGATCCGAGCGCTGTTGTACATATAAGGTAGGTCGCGGAGACCAATTTTCCTCTCGTTGCTGGGGAGTTAAGCTTCTACTCAGCTGCCTATGTCCGAGAGGAATGACTCTTCAAAGTAGGAAGGGATGACGAGGAAGGTGTGCTAGGGTGCGTGAGCCTCTAGCACTGAGAGTGACGACTTATAATACAGACCCTTAGCTGGCATAACAGCCCTTTTCAAGGCTACCTCCTCTTTTTCCATATTTTTCAGGTCCCTTTACATTTAGGTTCTTATGTACCGCCGTACTGTGACCTACTTTGGCTTAAAAATTCATATCTTTGACTAATACTTCGTGGAAATTGCATGGAGGTAAATTATCACTACTTTATGCTTCAAATGACTGGCGACATGTCCGGGGTCCGTACTCGACAACGAAAGCTGCATTAATTTAACAGGCGGATAGACAGAAAACATGCATTGGGATTTCCACCCAGCATGTTGTATCTCGGACTCAACAGAATGGCATTTAACCATGTATATCAGTCATTCTACACTCAAGACAGTACAGGCGTTCCATATACATGTCCTCTGAATAAATGTCGTCTGCACGGAGCGTTTTTAACAATATTTTGATTCCATTTAACACACAGAGATGTCTATTCCCGTCATGCTAAATCTCTGAATATGTGAACAAAAATAACTCCCTTTTCTTGAAATTTATATATCTGACGATAAGCAGATATATATCTTACTGTTATGGACAATGTATCAAATAAAACTATTATCTTCTTTTGTTCATTTTTGTTTATTCGCTCTTTCAGATCGATCTATGAATACTACGACGGCAGTCTTACTTTCCTTTAGAGCATTAGTTACCTTTTGTAGCGACATTTTCACTAATACTTTTTTACAAAGAAATTACAGATTCTTCAAATAAAGTGTAACTTCTGAAAACCGAATATAATTTAGATATTTTTGTATATATGATCTTAGGTTTGATATGGGACAATAATAATTATTTTGGGTCACAGGTATAATCCACAACTCGGCAATACCGAGGACCAAAAACGGTACGACTGGCACCTAACATGGATAGACACGCTGCATGTTGTTATGAATTCTATCAATAGAAACCATTGCTGGTAAAAAATGGGCAGCCCACTGTCATGTTAGTGCATATATAATATGGCGTGATATTTTATCGAAATAAAGCTATAAATTTGGCAATGTGCTTATTCCAATCAGCAGACACTTTCGTCAATAAAACTGTAATATCGTCGAGGGAGATGTAAAAATTGAAACCATTGCCTTTCGTACATCCATTTCCATGATTGCTGGATAACTTAAATGCGGTGCCTAAAAATAATGAAATATTTAAAAAAAAGTAACCATCTGTTCGATCGCTTTTGTGATCCGCGTAGATCATAAAATGCCAGGAGGTATAGGCACCGTTTTATTAACATGGTAACAATTGCTCCTGTAATATCTTCTACTTCATGACCTCAAGATTTGCCAGATATCCTTATGATAAATGTATAAATTTCCCAGGATTTGATGAAGACAATTTAATATGACAATTACTTTTCCCCTCTATTATAAATGAATCATAAAACGAAGATTGTGCGAGACATTCAGTTTTGACTGATACAAATAGTGAGGTAACCGACCGATTAACAATATCTGTCATATTTTGCGGTTCGGATCAGAATATCCGTCCCGAGGTGACCCGCCCGCAAGCCTCGTTACCGCCCATGGGCGGGTGACCGAGGGATGGATATTCCGATCCGAACCGCAAACATGTCAGATATTTTTTCTTGCATATTCTACTATATTCCATTCTATTTTAAATTCTTTATCTTTCATTTCAATGGAAATTTATATCATAACAACCGTAACTACTTTCTTACAACAGCGTATGAATTACAACTTCATTCATAACGGTAAAATGACGTCATCCTAAGCGTGGCATTGTGCAGCACGCGACTCATCTGGCACCCCCCATGCCAGATGAAATTTCCGGCATGGGTAAAACTCACGGAAACGCCAGTCTGATATGCAAGAAATAGTGTAATTAAGTGCCCAAATACTAATCAAACAAACTCCTGAAGCAACTTGATACATTTTAAGTTTGATAGGGAATAAACAAACAAAAACATGTTCACTTTCATCATACATATATATGTTATTAAATATATTCAATGTAAAGAAGCCATTTATAATATTTGGTTGTAGTAATATTTGTACATGTTTACGTATTCCCCGAAATAACAAAAATAATTTTAGCCCCTAACCTACTGATTGTGTAAAATGGATTTGTCCTGCTTTGCATTTGGAACAGTTCATTTTAATTTCAAAATTAAAAGGATTTCAGTATCAAGATATCAACACCACTACCACACAGAACAGTATATATGAGCCGCATCACGACAAAACCAACATAATGGGTTTGCGACCAGCATGGATCCAGACCAGCCTGCACATCCGCGAAGTCTGATCAGGATCCATGCTGTTCGCTATCAGTTTCTCTACTTGTTATAGGGTTTGTAAGCGAACAGCATGGATCCTGATCAGACTGCACGGATGCCCAGGCTGGTCTGGATCCATGCTGGTCGCAAACCCATTATGTTGGTTTTATCATGACGCGGCTCATATATATATACAGCCTGATCATTCAGACCAGATGGGCAGGTTGACCTTTTACCTGGATTTATACTGGTAGTAAAAGTCTAACTTCCAGTACCAGCAGGTTAAGGGTTAGTCATGGAAAATACAATATAAACAAGTACACCTATTTACAATAACAATGCATTATATGATAGACTGTTATATTCAGTTCAACAAGTGAAATCAAGCATTAAGCTTTCATCTTTTCCACTAACAGTTATAATGATATTCACAAGAATGTTTCTATTCCATGCTCTTTCAATTTAACTGTCATCTATGTGTTCTTTAATTTCTTGCATCTGCCCACTTTGGATCAAACACTAAAGGGAAGAACTGTCCTTCCATCTTCTGTCCCTGAAAAATATACACAGTATTTCCAATTTTCCATTTATAAAATGTGTTCCAACATTAACCAATGATATAAACAAGAGGGCCGAGATGGCCCCGAGTCGCTCACCAGAAACAACTGCTTTTCAGTGTTGGAATGTCAATATACATTGTATTCTAATATTAAATTTGAGCATAGAATATGTTTAAACAATAATTTGAAGAAATGACATGACCTGGGGTATTTAAGCTTTAGCTTAAATGGGGCTAATCAAATTAATATGAGCAACTTGATAAAAGACTACCCAAGAATGCTACAAAGTTTGGTGATCATCTATCAACTATTTCAGTAGGAAATGATGTTCGAAGGTTTTTTCTATTTTTAGTTTTATTGGCCCCTAAAAGGGGCTAATCAAATTGATATAAGCAAACTTGATAAAAGAGTACCCAAGAATGCTACAGACAAAGTTTGGTGATCATCCATCAATTGGTTCTGAAGTAGAAGATGTTTAAAGGGGCCAATCAAATTAATATGAGCAAACTTTATAATTATAAAAGATTACCCAAAAATGCTACTGACAAAGTTTGGTGATCATCCATTAATTAGTTCTGTAGGAGAAGATGTTTAAACGTATTTCTATTTTTAATTTTAGAGGCCCCTAAAAGGGGCTAATCAAATTAATATGAGCAAACTTAATAAAAGACTACCCAATAATGCTACAGACAAAGTTTGGTGACCATCCATCAATTAATTTTGTAGCAATAGACTTTTAAATGTTTATCTATTTTTAATTTAGCGGCCCCTACAAGGGGCCAATCAAAATAATATGAGCAAACTTGATAAAAGACTACCCAACAATGCTTCAGACAAAGTTTGGTGATCATTCATCCATTAGATCTGTATCCTCTGGTAATTTAAAGTTTCCTGTCTTAAAGTTGTCACAGTTAATCAAATCCATGTACATTGTATATAGTCAGCTTCTACATAGCAACCATAGGTATAACAATTTACACAATTTTAGGAATCTAGAGTACAGGGATAGCAGACAAATATGAGAAAGTCAGGAATCTTTGATCATCATATAAGTGGTACATGTATGCTTAACCTACATAGTTTGCTTTAAACATCAAAAAATATTTTCTTGTGAATAACTGCTTGGCAGCTGTGACTGAGAAAAAAAACTGATGTACATCTACTTCATTCTGGAGAATAAATCCATGTTATGGTAAACTAAACTTTTGGGGGGTTTGGTTTTTAATAAAGATGGGGTATAAAAAGCATAAGAAAGATTGTTTTTTTTAAATGTATTTAAGGAAATACAAACCTTTGGAATTTTAATTCCATTCAGTAGGTCTTCATCTGTATTGGAGCACACACCATCTTTGAAGTAGTTTAGTACAGCAGCCCTACGAGGACTATCTGATCTAGTGTGACAAACGAAGAATGTTAGTTTGGTCATAGAACAGGCCCATCAAGATCATAAGAAAATCATTGGAAAAAAACCCATCAGAATTCCATATAACAAAGAGCCATTATTCTATAAAAGTTATTCAAATCACAAAACCTCAATGATCTGTGCCGGCAAAGCACAGAAGAAACTCATACACCAATCTTATAAGTCAGAAAATCTGGTTAAAAATACATGTATAACACAGCAAAAAGAATATGTTCTGTACCTTGTTATGCATTAGTTTTTTTAAAATTTTCATTGCAAACAAAATCTTTTTATTATAAAACAAAATGTGCCTTGCTTATCAGTGTTTATCACATTTTTGTAAACATAACACCAGTCTCACCTGTTACCATAGGAACCATGCACTGCAAGAGCATGATGAAAACTTGCCTCCCCTTTCTTCAAATTTCCACACACTGGTTTAAAGTTGGCTTTTTCTTCTTCAGTTAATATTGTCTAAGAAAGAAACAATAATTCCATGCAAATTTCAGAATTTCACAAATTTACTTTTTTGTTTTAGATTCAAAAATTGATCCAGATGAATTTAATTAAGTAAAAATACATACAGAGTTATGGGTCTTAGTTCCAAGCAATATCACAATAAAAGTGAACAGTGAATGGCATATCACTTGCATACAAAAGCTCTAATAGGAATTTTCTGAGCTCACAAAGGGGAATAATTCAGTAAAATTCTATGCTAGACCACAGACTTGCAATTATAACTCCACAGTGAATTTCAAAATATTTTTAGAGTTAATGAAAATGATACTGAAATCAAAACTTATTATGGCAAAGCTACAGTGAGTTAGAACTGTATGAATTAAAGTACAAAAATTTATAGGCCCTAATGACCTTGACATTGATCAAAATGACCTTAAATTCAATCTAAGGGCAAGGTTAATACCAGGTTTTTGGTACCTTCGTGTATTTAAAATGTCTATAACAATCTTAAAATATTTACTATAAATAACTGTTGGAGGAAAAGTAGAAAATATACTTTTAGCTAGATTGAACTTGACCAAGAGGTCAACATGCCACATAATTGTAGCTATATTTTCTAGCAAATACTTCCAAATATCAAACATCTCTGTGAATAAATGAATGCCCTATGTTCCAGTTTAACTTGGAAATGACACAGTCTCACCTATACAAGGAACAAAATAATATCTTTTTAAGGAAAGATTAAAAACACATAAGCATACATATGATAGTTACATCTGTTACTGTAGAGATCCAAATTATGATGGAAGTTGACAAAATAATGTATGAAATGTCCTATATTACAACAACTAACATGGTGTAGCATTACCTTGATAGATTCCATGTCCTTGAAATTAAAATCAGTCACTGGTAAAGGCTTCCCTCCATCACGTGTCCATCTGAAAATAGTATTACATGTAATTTTATAATATTGCTTAATTTGTAACAATGCTTTTCATGGAATAATTGTGATATTTATATACTTTTATACACATGGATGCTATCAATTTATGAAGAAATTTCACTTTTTTCTCTACAAAAGTAGGTGATGTATTATAAATTTGTTGTAAATCCCCCCCCCCCCCCCCGGACAGGTTATATGGCCTTATATGACAGCTGTTTACAATATATCCCTCACCTTGCAGCTTGATGGCCTGGATTATATTTTAAAACAACCCTTGATATAGGGTCTTAGATCTTACACACGAGATCCTTACAATAAACTGTCTTACCTGGTACAATTTAATTACCTTAACTACCCTAGAGAATGTAGTCTCTATCTAAAGTACATGAAAGAGCATAGTACTGACCTTGTTTACTTTAAAGGGCCAGGTTGAACCTATCTTACCTGTGAGAGCCTGGAATATATTTCAATGCACCATTCTCCTCTGTCTGATCATCTAGAGCAATATGTACCTAAAATAATATAGTCTCAATGATATTACTTGTTTATTCTAATTAAAAACATTTTCTGTTTCAAATTTTCTTATCACTTTATAACATTGGGAAGAATGGCTAACAAATTTAATTTCATAACATTTAAAGCAGCATGCCTCCAGATGAGCGAAAATATTTCAATAAATTCAAACTTTGAGAAAAATATACTAAGATTTTAGGAAAAGTAGAAAGATGCAAGATTCAAGTAATAATTAACATGTAATAAGCAATTAATAGTTAATTTTTCATTGTGTGTAACTATATTTCTACTGCGTTACTAACGCAGTAAGGGCAATTTTTGCATATTTTGTCCTCTTTTAGTAGTTAACGTGGGATATAAATGCTATTGTTAATGTGTAAATTGCTTCCTTTTGGTTAATATACAATGTTATACTTTTTATTACATTTCAAAATTTTTATGAAAATAAGCATTAATCTGGAGGCATGCTGCTTTAATGAAAATGATTGTCTCTTACTTTTATAACATAAATTTTAAACAAACACACAGATTTATACCCTGTCACAATCTTTTAACATATATAATAGCTAAGTGACCTTTGATGAGGGGATAATTTGAACAAGCGATGTAGTAATCCACTAGGCAACAAAGCATATCATACAGTAAGCCTTGTGTTAACAGTGTTGCCAAGATGCTGGGGAAATGGGTTGGATAACCTCAGTAACCTATGAATAGCCAAGTTAAAAAGGGTGCAAGTAGGGAAACAAGTTTGACTTTTCATAGTGCTGGTTTATGAAACAAAGGTTTTGGAGGAATCAAAAGCTTCATTATTATATATATTTTATTCTAACTAACTTGATACTATTTCCCTCTCAAACAGATTGGGCAATCAAACTGCATTATTACACAATATATGCATAGAATTTAAAAAAAACTGATGCTTATGCATCACATGATGTCAGTTTTGACATTAACTAGAATTGCCACTGTCAGTGCATGAATACACCCACATACCACTTTGTCAGAATCAACAGTGGCCATTTAGCACTAAGGACAACCTCCCTGCCAAATCTGAGTTACTAAGCCAGTGCATTCCTAAGTTATGTATTCTACATGCTTCAAATGTGAAAATGTCAAAATCAATACACTGCGGATAGGCAGTAAGTATGCTTAAGCATATGAGCAGACAAGCTTATTATAGTAAAAATCCCTGTGACTTGACCTTTGACACAGTCACCTAAAATCAATAGGGGTCATCTTCTAGTCATAAACAATCTCAATACCAAATATGAAGACTGTTGACCAAAGCATTCTAAAGCAATTGAGCAGAAAAGCTATTTTAGTCAAGGCCCCTGTAACCTTGACCTTTGACCCAGTGACATCAAAATCAACAGGAGTCACTTAATGGTCAGGATCAACCTCCATGCCAAATATAAAGACTGTGTGTCAAAGAAATCTTAAGTTATTGGGCAGACAAGCTTTTTGAAGTCAATAGACCCTGTGACCTTTGACCCAGTGATCTCAAAACCAATAGGGGTCATCTACCCATCATGACTAACCTCCATGTCAAATATGAAGACTGTGGGTCAAAGGAATCTTAAGTTATTTGGCAGACAAGCTTTTTTTAGTCAAGACTACTGTGACCTTGATCTTTGACCCAGTGACCTTAAGATCAATAGGGGTCATCTACTAATCATGACTAACCTACATGCCAAATATGAAGACTGTCTGTCAAAGGAATCAAAAGTTATTGGGCGGACAAGCTTTTTTTAGTTAAAGCCCCTGTGACCTTGACCTTTGTCCTGGTGACCTCAAAATCAATAGGGGTCATCTGCTTATCATGAATAAAATCCCAGGCTCCATGATGACTCAGTGACTAAATGCTCATATTTTCATATTTTTGTCCTTATGTCAAAGATCAAGGTCAAATATCAAGGTCACACATAATATGAGAGGTAAAATGCTTGATTGCTTTCACACAATCAGAAATATGTTTTTTCCAAAAGCAAGATAATTCTTATAATCCAAAGTGGGTATGGCAACAGATACGGTACAAGGAGGATTTTCTAACAGGATAATAAGGAGACTGTTACTGTTAAATGACACATTGGTGAAGTTCTTGTCCAGTAAGAGTAGTCCTGATGCCTACAAAATGAAGTTAAATTATATATAAAATAGTATACATCCCTTACATATATAGGGCCAAAAAACCCTTCTTTGTAGAGGCCGAATATAGGCTGCTTCCCCAACCAAACTAGTCTCCTTTTTTCCCCAGTTAGGTCCTCAAAATTCCCCAGTCTTTTGAAATTTCCCATAGAATTTAGAATAAAATTAAATGATGGTGTTGAATTAAGGTCTTTTACTGCCTTATCAGTACTTTTTCCTTTTCTATTTTGAAGAACTTGTTAAAAGTTTGTGTTAAATTTAAGACCCCTTTTCCCAAAGAATGCCAAAATCATGCATATTTTCCCCAAGAAAAAGGCTGAGGCCCCTCCCCCAAAAATGGTGTTTGGGCCCTGATATAATACTCAAAAATGCTGGATCTAGTCCCAATCCAAAATACAGGCCATTTTCTACAATTTTTGAAAAGAAAATTTACAACATTAGACAAATATCTGGAAATATGTCCAATAATTAAACAGGCAAATTCCCTTAATTATCATATCAAATACTGTATTCCTAGAAACTTTCATGACAATATTTCGCGTTTTTTATAAGGATGGTGTTTTCGCGGAGATAAACTTTCGCGCAATCATAGTAACCACGAATTTCGCGAATATTAAGTCACTGGGGGTAAAGAGCAAATATATTACTAATATCACAATTAGTTTTCGGTATTTGTTCACTCTTTACCTGCAAGACAAGACTCAAAGCATAAGATATTGACAAAATTTTCAAATTATATTTATAAACAATCTATATGTAAGATACAAAATACCATTCCATTTTGAAGTAATTCTCGGATACCAGAAGAATAACAAGAACTGTCGGAGGACAATAAGGCTCGACTATTCGAAAAAGTTGTCACAAGGGTGTTTCATTGAGTATAATGCTTACCTATATGAATACATAAAATTGTCCGAAAACATACAAAGGCTTGTTATTAAGATGTTTTATCGAGTTAATCACTGCTTTATTATTATGAATGCATAAAATTGTTCAAAAAAAGGCTCAAACCCTTCAGTAGTTATGGAGATACCACCTTACAAGCAAAAACTTTACCTAGAATTTCTTAGACAAAAAAGGGGCATAATTATGCAAAACAAGAGGGCCATGATGGCCCTAGATCGCTCACCTGACCCATCAAACTCATCCGAACAATTACCTAGACAAGCATTCTGACCAAGTTTCATGACAGGTGAGTCAAAAATGTGACCACTACAGTGTTAACAAGGATTATCCATATTTGTGTGGCAGTGTGACCTAGTTTTTTACCCAGGTGACCCATATTCAAACTTGACCTAGAAATCATCAAAACAAACTTTCGGATACTTGGATCAAAACAGTAGCAACTAGAGTGTTAACAAGATTTTTCTATTTTTAGCTCCGGTGACCTAGTTTCACATGTGATTTCGAACATATCCGAGCAATTACCTAGACAAGCATCCTGACCAAGATAATTGAGTCGAAAATGTGACCACTAGAGTGTTAACAAGGTTTTTCCATATTTGGGCGGTGTGACCTAGTTTTTCATCCAAGATGACCCATTTTCGAACCTGACCTAGAAATCATCAAAACAAACTTTCAGACCAATTTACAGGATATTTGGATCAAAACAGTAGCCACTAGAGTGTTAACAAGATTTTTTCTATTTTTAGCTCCTGTGACCTAGTTTTTCATCCGAGATGACCCATGTTCGAACTCATCCGAGCAATTACCTAGACAAGCATCCTGACCAAGTTTGATGACAATTGAGTCAAAAATGTGACCACTAGAGTGTTAACAAGATTTTTCTATTTTTAGCTCCTGTGACCTAGTTTTTCATCCGAGATGACCCATGTTCGAACTCATCCGAGCAATTACCTAGACAAGCATCCTGACCAAGTTTGATGACACTTGAGTCAAAAATGTGACCACTAGAGTGTTAACAAGATTTTTCTATTTTTAGCTCCTGTGACCTAGTTTTTCATCCGAGATGACCCATGTTCAAACTCATCCGAGCTATCACCTAGACAAGCATCCTGACCAAGTTTGATGATGATTGAGGCAAAAATGTGACCGCTAGAGTGTTAACAAGGTTTTTCTATTTTTAGCTCCTGTGACCTAGTTTTTCATCCGAGATGACCCATGTTCGAACTCATCCAAGCTATCACCTAGACAAGCATCCTGACCAAGTTTGATGATGATTGAGGCAAAAATGTGACCGCTAGAGTGTTAACAAGGTTTTTCTATTTTTAGCTCCGGTGACCTAGTTTTTCATCCGAGATGACCCATGTTCGAACTCGTCCGAGCTATCACCTAGACAAGCATCCTGACCAAGTTTGATGATGATTGAGGCAAAAATGTGACCGCTAGTGTGTTAATAAGGTTTTTCTATTTTTAGCCCCGCTGACCTAGTTTTTCATCCAGGATGACCCATGTTCGAACTCATCCAAGCTATCACCTAGACAAGCATCTTGACAAAGTTTGATGAAGATTGATGCAAAAATGTGACCGCTAGAGAGTTAACAAGGTTTTTCTATTTTTAGCTCTGGTGACCTAGTTTTTCATCCGAGATGACCCATGTTCGAACATATCCGAGCTATCACCTAGACAAGCATCCTGACCAAGTTTGATGATGATTGATTTTTGCCTGCTAGAGCGTTAACAAGGTTTTTCTATTTTTAGCTCCGTCGACCTAGTTTTTCTTCCGAGATGACCCATGTTCGAACTCATCCAAGCTATCACCTTGACAAGCATCCTGACCAACTTTGATGATGATTGAGGAAAAAATGTGACCTCTAGAGTGTTAACAAGGTTTTTCTATTTTTAGCTCTTGTGACCTAGTTTTTCATCCGAGATGACCCATGTTTGAACTCATCCGAGCTATCAACTAGATAAGCATCCTGACTAAGTTTGATGATGATTGAGGCAAAAATGCGACCGCTAGAGTGTTAACAACTAAATGTGAACGGACGACGGCCGACGGACAATCATCGATCCTAAAAGCTCACCCTGAGCATGCTCAGGTGAGCTAAAAAAACAAATCAGAGTTATGGGACTTGTGCCAATCATGTTAAATAATCACAGAGAATAAGTGTGTGAAGTTTCAATACATTCCCTTCAGTAGTTATGGAGATACCAGCTTAAATGCAAAAACTGAACCACAGGGATGCCGACGCCGACAAATGGGTGAATAGTCGAGCTCAAAATGCATTCAGATGACAAATAGAGTTAAAGTAACGTCGAGTTAAATAATCGTATAATTTATGATGAACTTATTTTCTGAAAACAAAGTCATTGTTTGAATTATATAAATTTGAACAGTTAAAAATAAACAGAAAACGTTTATTCATATTGGCATTATTTGCTATTGTGCTTGTAACAAACAATAACACCTTCCTTTTTAGTGAGTAAAACTACTTTCATTCAAAGTATGCAAACTGTAAATAACATGTATCATATCACTTCATTTAATCTGTAAACAATGAATACGGAACTTTTAACTTGAAACGTGTATCAGTCAAGCATAGGTTAAAGTTAGGTATACTTCATCAGAGTAGTTCATAATGACATTGTGAAAATCTATGTGGTTGGAGCTACAAATGTTCGCGGATTTGTTACATGCAACTTTTTTGCGGATAGAAAAAAGTGCGCAAATGTATCAACCGCAAAAAGCACTAACTTAAAAATCGCGAAATAATTTCTAGGAATACAGTATGCCCATTTCTGTGACAGAATCATGCCAAACTTTTAATATTTGTGTTTTAATATAGTTATAAACTAATCGTTACCAAGCAACATTCCCCCCATGTTTTGGTGGTTTAGCAAACAGCTGATCATGCCAGAATCTAACTGGTGTCATGTTGCCACTTGGTTCCAATAGCTGGGACACACCAACCTGCAATGAAACAAAATATGAAATACAATCTGCCAGTCATGTGACTATAAACTGTGATAAAATTTGTAAACAACAGCAAGTTATTGTCAAGCATAAACTAAAATATGAATAAAGACATTTGGGTTAACGTTACTACAGACACCTTCACTTCAAAATGATCCAATCTTGCACAGCCAAAATAATCCCTTAAACTTAAAGAAAAAATTCATATACAGTAAACTCCGCTTATAACGAACTCACTGGGACATTCAAAACCTGTTCCTTATATCCGGAGTTCCTTGTAAGCATATAGCGAATTAGTTCGTTGTATCAGGAGTTTTTATAGCGAACAGATTTACATATAACGAACTGATTGTTTACCATTGTCCGCCATTTTTGAAGATAATTTGATTAAGAAATAGAAATATTAGTCATTTATTTATATTTTAGACACACTACCCGAGAGCGTACTTTTTGGAATTCGAAAATCATTTCTATTTCAGTTTTAGTTTTACTCCTTATCTCAATTTCACATAAAATATAATATTTTTGTTTCTAAATTATTTTCGTTTTCTTTCCATGATTGAGAATAAACAAGATTTTCGATTTTTTCCTTCCTTTTATATTGGAACATCTTCTATTATAATTTAAGGGTGACTTTTACTAATGTAAGATATAGATTTTTTTTTCATTTAAATCAAGCGTACTTAGCAGTTTGTAATGGATCATGCTTGCAAGCATGCATGATTATGTTGAAAACCGATTATAAATTATTATAATTAATTTATTTGAGCAAAACTATTGAAGAAAATAAATAAATAACCGTTTTATCTTGGTGAAAAGAGCTCATGCTAAAAATATCCAAAATAGAAAACTATACAAATTCATTTGAATAGATGTATTGAAGTACATACAACGATAAACGGTACATTTGCCGTGCGTTGAAAATGCGGGATCTATTTACGGATAGCCAATATTTTGGAGTTCGTTATAAAAGTGTAATTTTCTGTACTATTAACTAAATTTGGACTAAGAAATGAGTTCCTTATAAGCGATAATTCCTTATAACCGTGTTCGCTATAACCATATATTTTTATATTAAATAAAGAAGGACAAAATTCGGGCCAAAATAAATTGTTCCCTATAACCGGAAGTTCGCTATAACCGTGTTCGCTATAAGTGAAGTTTACTGTATAATTTTAGTGTACATAATGCATAGGTTTACGATGTAAATACATTGTGGAAAAGCTTGAAAGTTTACACAGAATATATCATCGTATTTCAGTATATTTTACTTTAAAAGAAAAAGCTGGAATATGTTTTTACAGAGAAGTTTGGGGATCAGTTTGCTTGTCTGACAGATACAATACTAAGAAGGTTTTGTTATAGATAAGAACACATGCAAGACATCTTACAATTATAAACCTTTCACAACAAATGATCTTGATAAACCTACCACAACTTTAGGAAGAAAAGCCAGGTCATGGAAGTGTTTGGTAAGCCTCCAGTGACCTAGAGCATGCATTAAAACATTGTCAGGGTCACCACTTTGGTTACTATGGTATTCATACAACATGTCCATTCCTGGGTGCTTCTCTCCTCCCTATAAAATAACATAGAATAAATGTTATCAAATAATTTCATCTAAAGATAACATATGTTTAAGGTGCAGTAATCATCATTATTTTAGCAACTGCAAGAATATTTTAATACATTGCAGAATTTGACATTAAACACATCTTTTATATATCTAATTTCTATGAAAACAACCATAAACCATGATGGCTACATAACACAGCATTATACTAATAGTGAATACTCGCACATGCAAACTTTTTTTGATGATCAAGTGGGAGATTTTTCTGATTTTAGAATTTGCAATAAACAAAGAAGGAAATTCTGACATCAAAAATAGGGAGATTTCTTTAATTTGTGAAAATACCCCGTATTTCAAGAAAAATCTTCGAAAATATGGCTGCAGAAAGTGGGAGTCTCCCGCTAAAAGTGGAAGAGTTCACATGTATGAATACTTACAAACTTACAATACAAAACATTTTTTATCAAAGATTTTGTAAATTTACAAAATGATGATCTTAATTCACATTAACAGTTTTTAAAACTACACTTATACCAAATCTGAGAGTCATTCTAACAATTCATACCTCAAACATAGTTATTATACTGTTATTATGAACATTCATAAGATGATGAAAATAGATATACAAAAGTTACCTACCAGGAAATACCTATAATCTTCTAGTATCATATCACATTGCTGTGGTGTCAACACGGGCACATTTAGAAGAAATCCATCTTTCCAAAATGTGTCAATCTGATCTTGACTTAATTTGAATTTATTCCATTCACACTATTAATTAAACAAAAAAAGAAAATTTAGCAGACAACACAAGCTTGATCTGATGAGCATTATATACAAATATAAACTTTATCTATGATTATGATACAGCTATAAATAAAACTCTCTACTTATATAAACTGTAAAAATTGTATTTGGAAAGAATATATTTTTAATATTTTGTAACATGCAAAACCAACATGTTCTTTCACATTTAACAAACATGTTCTTTCACATATTTAACAAACAATCCAGTTTATTTGAAATAATTATATCATCATACTTGTCACTATGACTGTCACTGATAGTAAATTTTGTATCAAGGGCTGAACATCTATATATTGAATTACATAGTTAATACAGTTGAAACCTTTTAAATATGTGTTTGTTTGGTTTAAAGGCACACCAACACAGTATAGGTCATATGGTGCTAAAAAAGGAAAGATGATTTTGGCTAACCTTGAGTTATAAAAACTTCAAAGCAATGCCAGAGGTCAAACCATCTCACCTGCTGAAGCTAAGAGATGAATAGACTCCGCTTATTAGAACCTATTAAGTCTCCTCTTACGATCACCCAGGGATGAACAGTAGCTGCAATTCTTATGCCACAACCATTAGATATTTGCAAAAAACAGGGAGAAGGGATTTAGATTGCATAGACATTTTAAAATGTGAATTGATACTGAATTGAATGTTAAATATCAATGATTAATTATTTGCGCGACATTCAATGATCGCCCTTCTTGTGACAAAATTTACCACCATTCACTTCCCTGAATGCCTCTGGGTCTGAATTGAATTGTGTCATGTTAGGAAGCTATTAAGCTACCTTCATCATTTATGGAAGGCCGGTGCATATACTACGGTGCATGTATGTACCTCAACTACATGTAACTCTAAGAGAGCTACCTAAGGTCTATTGCAGCTGCAAACTATATTGCTGATAAATCATCATATACCTTAACAGTATCCCTTTGTCTTAAAAACCAATCTATTATCTTAGGTACCAGTAATATTTTTAGAGAAAGTTCTATAGAGACATATATGCATTTATATAGATAACTAACTGATGTCATGTGATAAATCAAAATTTTACCTAAGATGCCTTTGCCTTTTTGATCTATTTTTCTAAAGAGGCATTTGCCTTTTTGATTTGTAAGAGACAAAACGTAACAGATGTCACATTCGTGAATTTACACTAAAAACGGTTTTCAATGAGAACTGCAGAAATAATGTTTCCCCATTTGACACACAATTACCAATAAATGGGCTAAATAAACCAAACCATGGATGTAGCCATAGATGACTCTTGTCTCAGCACCAGGAAATTTCCACACATAATCCATACATACAAATACAATTGTCTCTCCCAGAATATGAGACAAACATGAAATGAGCTGCACCATGACAAACCCAACATAATGGGTTTGCGACCAGCATGGATCCAGACCAGCCTGCACATCCGCTCAGTCAGATCAGGATCCATGCTGTTTGCTATCAGTTTCTCTACTTGTCATAGGGTTTGTAAGCGAACAGCATGGATCCTGATCATCCGTGCAGGCTGGTCTGGATCCATGCTGGTCGCAAACCCATTATGTTGGTTTTGTCATGATGCGGCTCAAATTATTTGTACCTGGTCAACATCAAACAAAGACCCAACAGGTTTATGGACTGTGCTGTAATCTGGAACACCTGGGATAAAATCAACTACTGTGCTCATGTCTGAAACAATAAGGAATGAAAGTAAATTAATATCATGGAAGGCAACTTCAGACTATCAACCTTAAACCAGCATGCCTCCAGATTCATGCTAATGTTGAATGCTTATTTAAAAGTAAAATATTGTGAAGCAAACAAAATAATTAACAAATTACAAATGCCATGTAAATTACCAAAAAAAAAAAAAAAGAGGTAAAAATATGAAAAAATAGCCCTTAGTCAGGCTGTAGAAAAAGGTAATAAAGTCTGCTAACCAGTACATCAAAGGCTGAAATAATAGAACCACTGTCATCTAGAAAAACTCTTTTCCATGCTTTCAATCAATTTATCAATAAAATTTTCCATTGCTAATTTAACCATTTGTTCTTGTTGTATTTTGTAACTTAACTCATGGTCAAAAAGTTTATCCCCATCCTTCAACAGGCATTTAAACTCCTGTTTGTAATGTCCCTCATTACATTTCAAGTACTTAAGCTTAGAGATCGTGCTGGACACAATAGGTTTAATGACTGCAACATCAAGAAAATCGTTCTGAAAGACAAGGTTACGAGCTGTAATAACTGGTATAATGTCCATAAAAAACCCAGGTCATAGCAGGAAATTTATATTGTAAGAGAGACTTCCGGAGGCCAGTTGCTTTTGTGTCCTTTGACAGTTCAGTTGAGTCAAAATATATGATAAGAGCACTCAAAGACTTATATATACCTTCTAGCACATTTAAGAAAGACACCATCTTTAGTCATGCATTTCTCTCATCTTAATCTAAGGTTGATCAAATAAGTCCTGTATCTTAAATAGCCTACTACGAACAGATGACAACTTGAAATACTAGTACAGACTGGTAAGTGTAGACTTGTACTGCTGCATAACATCTAGCATAGAATCTGCCTGGCTGGTGCAGAGTGCTAACCTGTGTGCAACACAGTGTATACTAATAAGAAATGTTGACAATCGTTTCAACTGAGCTGCAACCCCATTTTTCACTCCAGTCAAAACACTGGCTCCATCAGAGCCAAAACAAAGCATTTTGTCAGCAGGTTTGCCACTTTCAATTAAAATGGTTACCAATTTGTTAGTGATAGTAGACGCATCTTTTTCACCAATGTTAAAATTCCCTAGGAAGTGTGATTTCAACTCAAAATCTTTATTTTCAAAGCGCACATACACATCAGCTAACCAGTCACTGATATGTCTGTACTCTCATCTGTCAGGATGGTAGCACAACATGAACCTTTCATTTCATTAATGATATCAGCCATGTGTGTGTCTGCAACAGCATGTTGAATTTCCTGTGCAATCGTAGTTAACCTGTAAGATGCATTTCCACCAACATTCAAACTTTTTACATTGCTACAGCCTTCTTTCTCTAAAAGTTCTAACAAAGAGGAATATTTTTCTGTGGCAATATTCTCCTTGGCTAACCAGTAAACTTTGTCAAGGCTGATGTGACAGCTCCTTCCTGTTGAGAAACAACATTTTGAAGTTTTTCCTAGAGATTTATTCTCGGTTTTGGCAAAAACTGAAAGCTTGTAGTCAGTAGTTACAGTAGTGTCCAGTTATTGTTAGTGTACGGAAATTAGTGCAGCCAGTTGTAAATGAGTTGGTCATTTTATTATCAATTCAATAATTTCATTTCATTATCAATACAATAATTTCACCCTATTCATCCAAGAATTTTGGAAAGTAGAGTGCTTGGATTTTTTGAAGGACCAGGTTCATCAGCTGTCTCATTTTCATATGATTTGAGGCTTGAAACAATTGTACAATCTGACTATGCATCGTCAGTTGATGATGCTTTTTCAGCACATGTTTTGCCATAAAAATCTGTTATTCTTTCTTAGAGCGTTCAACCGATGAAATAATTAAAACGAAAATATTTATTTAAGGCAGCAGGACTTGTCCCCCCTAAATGTTTTAACGAAAATATTTATAATATTTGGCTTACAATTACCTCCCTTCATTTTCCGGGGTTATGTAAACAAAACAAACAAATATATGCAGGATGGAAGTTTTTTAGGTTTTTTATTAGCTTTTTTCTATATATAGTCTTACAGATGCGCGATTTTTACGCACATGATTTAAATTGTGCTCGATCTGTGAAATACAAGCGTGAATCGCCTGTTCTAGAATTGACACTGATAAATGGGGAAAAGTGTTTAAGCAGCGTCCAGCTTTGATCGAGTCTATAGAGCTGTAGATACTCAGTTTGATCCAGAGTCGGGCCTAGCTTTTAGAATATGACAGATTAAAGGTCCGGACTCTAAGACAATGTGATTTCTTTTTTGTAACCATTGCAAATTCAAAGACGGATTTCAATCTTAAAAACTCCTTTGAATTCAAGTATCAAGGTATGGGTCACGTAAATTTTATCTGGGTAGGATAAAATGCACGAGGAGAAAATCACAAAGTTTAGATTATGAGATCCTGTAAATATTATAATAAAAAGCAAGACACAGTCACTAGTCATTACAATTCAGTATCATTTTTTCTGATATTATATAACTGTTTGGAGGTGTGACATTTCAAATCTTAATCTTACAAACCTATTCTTTGATGACAAAATACAATCACAAATCACACCGCTGAATCTTGTATTGATCAGCCAATACACCGTTCACGTGACTGAGAGCTTAATTGATTTTTGGCAGTTCTGTTATTCACCCCCGTAATATTTTGTTATTAAGTTTTTACAATATTTAGAACCATTATAATTTGATATTAATTAATAAAATATATCAATGTTATATTATAAACTAGAGACATTTTAAATTTAGTCTTTTTGGTTATTATTTCATCGTTTATCGTAAATATTTCAGCAATGTGTTCGATAAATGGATCGGCAAGTAATTAACAAGAACAAGTTCAAAATGGAGCCGAATGCTCAACTTTAACAAAGGTGTGTTTTTAATAAAATAATATCTAAACCTAGATCCCATTGGCAGACACTTTGGAATGACTGTATTCTAGCCGCTGCAACGTGACGATATTTGAAGTTGTGTTTCCTGTAAGTTCAAATCTGTTGTTTTTGTTGTCGATTTATTTTTATTATTTTTTTTTTGTTTTTGTTAAATATTTGAATCTGTTGTATTTGCATTAAACACTGTTAAATAGACCTTTCTCTTTCATTTTACTGTTTATGTGCAAATGCCCTGGAAAAGTTTGTAATGTGTGCATGAATGAGCTAGAAAGTGAAAGCGACCCCATAATTTTAAAAATTAAAGAGTCCTGATTCCTGAAGAAGGTAACATTAAAAATATTTAAAAACTGTGCCAAACTCCCAAAGCAAGTTGCAATATGTCCGACTTCATTTTACAAACAGATATTACATAGATGTCGGTGACCATCGTCTATATAAAAAAGCACTGGCGCACAATTTGTTGGGCTATATGCAAAGACAAAAACGTCTTCATATTGACGAAAATGTTCTGTAGCAGAGATTCAGATAAGTATCATTGGCTTGGTTGCACAGGTGCAAACAGGGGTTATAGTATGGTGAATCCCGGGCGACGGGCGGGCAGGCAGGGAAATATTTTCGTAACAGTTTTCTCAGCAACTACTTATCGCAGCCTCTTGATGATATTTGGCATACAGCATAAACATGTGGTCCCATTCCATGGGATTCGATTTCTGGTCTATCGCTCATCCACTTCCTGTTACCTAATTAGTTAAATTTTTTACATTAATGGTCAATGATAGAAAATTTTTGTAACAGTTTTCTAAGCAACAACGTATCATAGGCTAGCCCCTTGATATTTGGCATACAGCATTAACTAGTGGTCCCATTCCATGGTATTTGATTTCAGATCTGTCGCTCATCCACTTCCTGTTTACCCACTTAGTTAAATTTTTGACATTAAATGGTCAATGGTAGGAAATTTTCATAACAGTTTTCTTAGCAACTACTCTGACTCATCACAGCCTCTTGATATTTGGCATTAAGCATTAACATGACTTTTTGTGGTCCCATACCATGCAGGGCTTCCATTAAGTTTCAAAATTGGAAGTCAGGTACTGTAAAATGTCAGACATTGGAAATCACATTATATATAAGTAAAGAAGGGAAAGCATTACATTTTGGAAGTCACAAGCCAAGATCAAGAAGAAAATAACTCCCAAACTTCAATTAACGTAAGCCTTGTCGTGGGATTCAGTTTCAGGTCTGTTGCTCATCCACTTCCTGTTACTAATTTAGTAAAAATTTCTACATTAATGGTCAATCATGGTTAACATTTTTTGTAACATCACAGCCTCATGATATTTGGTATACAAATGCAATCTGGCCTTTTCTGTCTTTGACCCATTTTTTTATCATTAACAAAATGATTTTCACCAAAAACAAATTTAAAATTCTGATGTACTAAAACAAATTAAATTTTCAATTTCATTGGTTTCAAAATCTGTAAGTTAAATTCGCTGAAAACAAAAGAAAACAGTTTTCCGATCATACTATTTACTGCAGAGATCGAAAATTCCACTCATCTGCTTGTTATTACATTAGAATTTTAGAGAATGTGATATAGGACGAGTAGAAAAATGTTGCCTGCACATTGGATGTAGAAGCTACTTGTCCTGCAGGAAGAGTGACTTGATGCCTGTCCTGTGGTATATTTTGTCAGAGTAATAACATGCCATAACACCGCTTATGCAAACCGTAATGCACTGTTCAGTTATTTGCTAAGAGTAACCTACATTTCAGAAAAATGTGAAAATGTCGTCGGAACCAGCAAAAAAAACAAACAGACAGCATATTTCTTTATATGCTAAATTTTGTAGAAATATGTGTTTAAATGAAGTTGGAGTTAATAGCAAATGTCGTCATTTTTGGGTACTAAAACATTAGTCCGTCCGTCCTTCCGTCCGACATTTCTGTCCGGAGCATATCTCTAAAAGTATTTGAGTTATCAACTTGAAACTTCATAGGTGGATAGACCTCATTGAGGAGGAGTGCAGTGCACAAGAATGATAACTCTACCTTGCATGATTTTTGAGTTATTGCCCTTTGTTATTTTTCAAAATTGATTTTTGTCCAGAGCATAACTCCAAAAGCCTTTGAGATATCAAAATGAAACTTCATAGGTGCATAGATCTCACTCAGGAGGTGTGCACTGCACAAGAATGATAACTCTACCTTTTATAATTTTCGAGTTATTGCCCTTTGTTATTTTTCATACTTAATTTTTCAATTCAATTTTTATCTCAAAAATAATTTGAGGTATCAACTTGAAACTTCATAGGTGGATAGTTTTTACTGAGGAGGGATGCAGCACACAAGAATGATAACCTTCCCTGCATTATTTTTCAGTTATTGCCCTTTGTTATTTTCATTCATCAGTATTCACATAGGTTTCAAATCTGTAATCACTATAGCCATCAGTTTTCATTACCAAAAGACCTCTTAAAATAGAATTATTCTGTTCTACTACATAATACATTCTTCCAATGAGCAAACACATTCGGCGGGGGATGGCCATGTTGACATGGCTCTTGTTTGAATTGGTTTAATACATAAATAACTACAAATATGACTTGATATGGTATACAACAAATTCATTTTGATACAGAAATGTTAATTTCAAATTTCAAGATGTGATACTATGTACATTGTAGCTTCTAGGATATTAAATTTATGTAGCAGATTGAATAGGCAAATATGACTTTCATTCATACATAGATATAAATGTCATCTAATGATGAATTGTAACTCAACTCAAAAAATTTAGTTACTCATTCCATATTCAACATCATGTTGGTGTAAATGAATCTCTGTTTTAAGAATATAAAGCCAGTAAGACTCTTGGTGCTACATACATGTTCCAATATTATTAAACTTATTATTATTAAGTTTTGTTTGGGTTGGAGACTGACTGTGTTCCGTGAAGAATGTATTTCATTATTTTTCTTCTACTTGAACAGAAAGGTACAAATCTAGTTGAAAAATTGTTTTTATAAATTATAATCATCTAGGCAAGTCTATTTAAGTAAGTTTTAAACCAATGCTATACATGAAGCACACTGTACTGGCCTATTTCTTTTTGTTTTGGAAGGTTCTTTTGACAGAAGGCAGTACATAAGTCCTCTATGCTCCATGTATTTGTAACAAGTTACTCCTTTGTCTTTTGGTCCCACAAATGATAAATCAAAATTATGATTATATAGACAATAAAATTTATTGTGTTAGATTGTCATTCATTCAAATTAGCCAGGATTATTACTAAAAATGTTTTTCCCCACTTTTGTTTGTCTGAGTATTCCAGTTTTGGTTTTTGTCCCAAAAATAGATGAAAAACTGCTTTCATTTCCATCATTTCTCAAATTGCATTTTAGAAATCAATACAGTATCTCCTTAATAAATTGTGATATTTGTAGACAATAATTTTGCTGCAATATGATAATATGGGACAGCAACAAGTTTCTTGTCATGAAATGTTATCAACTGTGTATGTACATCCTTTTTTCAAGACGTTTCCTTAACAGGACTTACCCTGGATGAAACTTTCAAAATTGTTTGATTTTCTGATTTCATGCAAAATTTTGTCAACATAGGATATCATGCCTAATTAAAATTTATATAGACAAATTAATAAGATTTTAACAAATGATAATGACAGAGTGAGGATTGCTGCTTTTAAATGCTTGTGAAATCATTAAAGTCTTTGTTTAAAGGATAATTTTGATGTTAAACAATTAATTTTGTAAACTGTATAAATAAATGATGTTAAAGCATAATTCACGAAGTAAAATGATTTGATTACAATGTTCAAGGACCATAATTATTACATCTACCGTAACCTATTAATGGTAGGGGGTTGAGGGGGGCATTAAATGGGGTCCATATTCTCAGTGCCTGAAAGGGCGGATGGACTCTTCTTAAATAAAGACTACCAACTAGGGCATTAAATGGAAACAATACAGTATCTATCAATGGTACTGCAATAACTGACTCACACTCAAACCTTTTTTTGTTTCAAATTTAAACAGGTATTTCACAGTTTGTTTAAACTTAATTAAACTTTGATATATTAAAAGTGGTAATTAATATTTCTGTTTTCATTGTTAACCATGTTTGTGTTACTGTGGATTCAGTCTGACCAGATTGTTGATGCTGTACAAACAAGTTCTCTCATTATAAGTTTATTGTTTATTGGAATTTGATATCACAATATATTAGACAGGTATTTTCAGAGATCCAATTAATACTTCAAAGAGTTTTTAGCTCGACTTTTCTATGAAAAGGGGAGCTATCCTACTCGCCCCGGCGTCGGCGTTGGCGTCACACCTTGGTTAAGTTTTTCGTACCACCCCACTTTATTTCAGAAGTATTACAAGTATGGCTTTGAAACTTACCATACTTGTTCACCATCATAACCTCCATCTACAGACAAGAGTACATAACTCTGTCAAGGTTTTTGACAGAATTATGGCCCTTTTTTGACTTAGAAAGTGTATTGAGCTTGGTTAAGTTTTTTGTACCACCTCACTTTATTTCAAAACCATTGGAGGTATTGCTTTGAAACTGACCATACTTGTTTACCATCACGACCTTCATCAACAGACAAGAGGACATAACTCTGTCAAGGTTTTTGACAGAATTATGCCCTTTTTTGACTTAGAAAATACATTGAATATGGGTAAAATCCACTTATTGCCTTAACCCTTTGAGATATTGCTTTGAAACTTTTAATGCTATTTCACATCATTACCCCCATCTGTACGCAAGAGAAGGTAACTCTGTCAAGGATTTGTTTTAAAAATTAAGGCCTTTTATCGACTTAGAATCTTGGTTAAGTTTTTAGTACCAGTCCACTTTTTGACTGAACTGTTTGAGATATTAATTTGAAAGTTGGAATACTTGTTTACAATCATGATTCCCAAACATGTCCAGGAGAAGGTAATTCTGTCAAAGATTTTATTTGAATTATGGCCCTTAACTGTCAATGTTTTGTATTATAGGCAAGCACTAAAAAACTTAAAAAATCTAAAAAAATTCATTCCTATCCACTTGTTCACTTTACCATAAATTATGTCATAATAAAATAATTCTTCACTAAATATCTTAATGCTCATGGCCATTGTTCACTTTAAAAATACAGAGATTCTTGTATTGCCTTTTACTGCAAAAACTTTTTTTATTGGCAAGCAATAAAAAAGTCGAGCGCGCTGTCTTACGGACAGCTCTTGTTGTTTATATTTGTCAGACCAAAACCTTTGTTTAGTGTATAAACTATAATTAACCAATCAAACCTCTTTGATTATATAAAATAAATTGAATTCTTTGATGATTTAAGATTAAATTTGATATATAACATAAAGATGGTATTTTACTACATGTAGGTATTTAAAATATAACTAGGCCTTTCTTTCCCTAAAAGAAAACAGGCATGCCAAAACTAACCTATAATGGCTATATACAGATGTGTTTGTTTTTCAGTTGCCAATTGGTCATGTTTGGTCAGATAAATTCGAAATATTAAGATAATAAAGTTTTTGATTCTTTATTTAAAATTATTATATGTGTAGTTTCATGATTTTAAAAGTCTCATTTGAGGCACGTTTTTATCCTTTTTCTGTGGTGTAATAGGTTGCTCAAAAATATTGAAAAAAGGCCAGTTATGTATAAAGCTGTAAGCCTACATTTGATCGAGGATTAAACATAAAAATATCTTCTGATTTATGGGGATTATTCCCTAAAGATGAAACACTTACAAATAATTACATAGATAATATTTAGCAAGTGAATTTTCTCAAGAACAGAGAAAATTGCCAAATTATTCCATTTGTTTGAAGTAAGCTCAGCATGAGGTTTTTATGTTGATGTACCACTAATTTGTCCCATCTGCAGTTTATAAGTCAATGGGTTGGAAACAATTTTTTTATATTCAGTTTACCTGTGCCTTTTGTGAAAAGAACATCTTGAAAAATGCAGGAATATAAAGTTTATCAAGGTTTTTTTTCACTTTTTTATATAAAAAAAGATTTTTTTGTCAATAAAATTACATGGATATTGCAAAGCATGTGGATTAAGATTTAAATGATGTGTTTGAATTTTGTGTTAATTTTTTTTAAGCTTCATGTTGAATTTAATTATATTATAAATTGAAGGAAGGAAACTGTGGTGTATTTTTTCCCAAACATTAATGTAAACTCCTTTTAGTGCTATGGAAAAAATTGTGTTATTTTGTACTGAAGAGTAGGGAAGTATTTTTTGATTAGTACAAAAAACATGTTTGTACAATCTTACATTTAATAATTATTATAAATTATAGTAAAGTGAAGCCTTGACCATTCATTTGTGTTTTCAGAGCAATTTCTTTAGTTGCTGTTGTTGTCATGATTGTTTTAAATTATGCTTGTGTTTGTTCATAACATGTATTTGAATGCAGGTAATATTATATATATGGCCAATGCACATACAGTGTAGTGTGTCAAATTAGCTCTATGTTTTAAATACCTGCAAATTATAATTATTTCTTTTTCAAGTTGTTAAAATAAACATGATGTTTGTTTTAGCCTTTAGGTAGTACATGTACCCGTTATGTACTGCAATCAATTTGTGATTATTATGTATAATATTTATTTCCATGTATATTTTCAGTGGACAATTACCATCCTATAGAGGTCAGTCCCCTAACACCTAGAAGGATGGACGGAGCAGAATCTGTCCGGTCGGGTCGCAGTGACCGCTCCGAGAGATCGCACCGAAGTCACAGCAGCCATCACAGTAGACATCATCGGCATCGCCAGCACGGGTCCTCAACACATTCTCAAGGTCACAGGGGACGAAGTTCAGATCGGGTACGGGATGATCGGTCAGTAACAATTCAAACACCAGGTAATGGTTCTGATGTTGATAGTCGGATCGCAGAAAGTGAAAAAATTGAAGTTCAGATATTACCGCAGGATGACAACTGGGGTGATAACACAACTGCTTACACAGGAAACACAAGTGAAACTGGGTTCTCCATGGACGATATGAGAAAATTTGCTAAAGAAAATTTTGATGAAGATAATGGTGGATTTGACTGTTGCAGATATTTAAGTACAGGACTAGCTGCCATACTCAGTTTGTTAGGATTTTTTTCACCCATCGCTATGGTAGTGTTGCCAAGACTTAAGATAGGTGGTTGGGAGACCACAACATGTACAGTAGAATGTGAAGGACTGCTTATCAGCATGGCATTCAAGCTGCTAATTCTTTTGATTGGCACAGTAGCTTTGTTCTTTCATGCTCCTCGAGCCACCATGCCCCGAGTGTTTGTTTTCAGAATAGTAGTGTTATTTCTGGTTTTTGTACTGACATTTGCGTTTTGGCTCTTCTATGGAGTAAAAATCATGCAGGAGAAAGAACCATCATATTACAGCATTGTACAATTTTCTGTCCATCTAGTGGATGCGTTATTATTCATTCATTACATCGCAATTATACTGTTGATCATTCGACAAATACAGCCTCAGTTTGTAATTCACGTTGTCAGATCACCGGACGGTGAAAGTCATACCTATACACTTGGACATTTAAGTATTCAACGTGCATCTGTATGGATTCTTGAACAATATTATAAAGATTTTCAGGTTTTCAATCCATATTTGGAAAATGTTATGAAAAAGCCAATGAAAGTGAGTGGTTTGAAATTTTATGAGGTAGATGGTGTACAGCAACCTAATAACCACGCAAGATCACGGGCAATGTTTGCAGCAGCTGCACGGAGGAGAGATGCTAGTCATAATGACCGGTTTTATGAAGAGCAAGAATATGATCGTCGTGTCCGGAAAAGGCGAGCACGGTTAGTTACAGCTGCAGAGGAAGCTTTCACACACATTAAACGCATGCAGGATGAAAATGGTAAATATTTTTAAATATTTTTCAATGAAAAAATGTATATAAATTTTATTCTGGTGATGTCATCTTTAGTTTAGTTTAAATTTTGTTCTAAAAGAAAGCTTTGGACATTGAATTTTGGAATCTTAATTTAATAGATGTGAAAAGACAAAAAAAATTAATTTTTAGATGTGTCCACAGAACCAAAAAAAAACTTACAATACAAGGAAGTAAATAGAAAGTTGTCCAGATCAATATTTTAACTATTACAGGTTATACCGTCATATGTGTCATTGGTTCAATTTATAATATCAGTAATGTTGATAACATATTAATTTCGTACTGCCGACTCTTTTAATAGGGTCGGGCATAAAGTTTTGCCCTAGTTGGCCTGTCACAATGCAAAATTTTGTGTGATCAAACTTAAATGCATGTCATTACAAAATGATATTTTGCAGTAGAATATTACTGCATCACAATAATTTATAAACTTTGATTTAATGCAGTTTAATTGAAATAATTGAATACAGAAAATGCTGTAGTCCAGATTAAAAAAAAAAGGCAGATATACTTTGGTATTACAAATTGCCTTTCATGTTTAATTGACTTAATTAAACGTAAGATTTTATCTTAATTGACAGGTCTCTTTTCTGCTCACTTTTTCCAAGCGTAAACTTAAACTTGGCTCACTTTTGCATTCATTAAAATGTAGAAAAATTGTATCTGGTTCCCATTTAGTTTATGTAGAGGTATGTAGAAATTTTAGAGCACTTGTTTTACTCATAAATAGGCAATAAAAAGTTGATCTGTATTTTACACCGTTAGGATATCGGATTATTATTTGTAATATCCAAGTTGGTGTAAAATTAGTTTTGAGATTCTGTGTCTGTAATAATAAGTAGACAATAATTTAGATCTCTGGTAGATTTATTTCATCTCAGTCAATTTAGTAAGTCAATCAAATACAATACAAAACATAAAACATCATTCATAAAGAAATCATACAAGTAATGTATATGTATCTGAAATTATCTATATTATAAAAGATTTCATAATTTTACTCATTTCATTTAGATATTTAAACATCTATAAAACCAATGTAGATAACAATATAGATTTATTCAATCTAAAAAAAAATAAAATAATATTTCTTCGTTATTATTCTAACAAGTTATTTAAAGTGGGGAATGGTATTAATTATATATAAGTTACTCGCAAGGCACATGAGAAGTACCGAAATGTTTTACATGAGATCATGATTTTTTAAACAACAATATTACTTACTAATTGTAACATAAAATTATAAACTTGATAAAAAATACTATAATTATAAGAACACCTTATTTGACAATTTTGAATTTGAAAGGTATTTACAAAAACGTATCTAAACACATAAGGATGATTAAGATTAAACTTATTTATTAAACCTATTTCAAGAATACATTTTCCTATAAATTTCAACTTTAATCTGTAAAAGTACTACAAATCTTAATGTTGTAAAATTACTAAACTTGTAACATATTAAACTCTTAATATGTAAAAATATAACAGTTCACTATTTAAACCTAATATGGAATAAAATTACAAAGTTTACAACAAAGTAAGAAATGAAAAATATAACAAATTTAAACAAACAGAAAATAACATACCTGTAATAATAAGTAGACAATAATTTAGATCTCTGGTAGATTTATTTCATCTCAGTCAATTTAGTAAGTGACTGCCAGAGTACTGTCCAAGCTTATATACAGGAGTCTGATATCTGCCAAATACCTTGATAAATTGTCTTTAGTTTCTACTTTGAATTATTTATTAGATTTATGTCACTTTTACTTGTAATTACAACATTGTATCTTTCAGAAGTATAGAAAAAGTGGTTTGAGGCAAACATAACACATAACATATATTTCTTACACAATAAATCTGTTGACAATTACTGACTTGTCTTTCACATTAAAGTAATTGATGAATGTATGAACCTGTTGCTAAATATTTTGAGAACAATACAATATTGTTTGAGGGGAAATCTTTTTACAGAATAGTGGTTAATAGGTAAATTGTAATGTTTGTAAAAATAAAAAACTGAATTATTTTTAATATGAATTTAAGAATATTTAATTATCTTTCTTTTAAACTTTGCAAGAAAACAGAATTATTTTTGTTAAGAAGTTAAGCATATTTTATGATTTTTTCTAAACTTTGGAGACCAAAATAAAACAAAGCAGGGGGGAATTATAAAGAAGTATAAAAAACTGAATTATTTTTAATATGAATTTAAGAATATTTAATTATCTTTCTTTTAAACTTTGCAAGAAAACAGAATTATTTTTGTTAAGAAGTTAAGCATATTTTATGATTTTTTCTAAACTTTGGAGACCAAAATAAAACAAAGCAGGGGGGAATTATAAAGAAGTATAAAAAACTGAATTATTTTTAATATGAATTTAAGAATATTTAATTATCTTTCTTTTAAACTTTGCAAGAAAACAGAATTATTTTTGTTAAGAAGTTAAGCATATTTTATGATTTTTTCTAAAACTTTGCAAGTATTAAATAAGTTATTTTTGGTATGTAATAAGTGTTATTACATACCAAAAATAACTTATTTAATACTTGCAAAGTTTTAGAAAAAATCATAAAATATTGTAGTGATCTGAAATTTTCAACTATAACTGTAACATAACTGAACTACATGAACTCAACTCCTTACCTTAATTGACTTGAACTTGAGAAATTACTTTTCTTCTAATCTTTAATAGTGAGGATATGTTGACATTTTCTAGCCATAAAACTTATAATGAGCTGTGTTTTACTAGAAATCAAAACACCAACCCATGTATACGGGTTATGAGCCAGATTTTATCTATCCTTTTTATCCAACATGTTTTCCTTGTTTATCCTCCATTTTCACGATGCACAGCTCAATCTAACTTCTGAGGGGAATTGTCACTTTCACTCGTTACCTGTGATTATAAATCTTATTGTTATTGTTTAATAATTATATAAGTCACTGTTTTGCCAAGTAACAATGTTTAATTCCATGTATTTTTGTAGTTATGATCCGTTTTCTTAGGAAAACGTGCTTCCACTTTCGTTTCAAGATGCCATTTTGAACTGTTTCCGGTACGTTACTAAGGACGACCGGCTACAGCTAATTTATTGACGAAATTCTGCGATCTGATTTTTGTGTATTTTCTTCAGTGAAAAGGTATAACTTGTTTAAGATAATGCCATAATATTTGTAACAAAATGTTCTATGTCCATTTTTATTATTTCATAGGTCTAAGAGTCTATGTTTAAATTTCTAACCGTTTTGGTAAATCAACCAATATTTCTTGGTCGGACCAACCACTTTTTGGTTCCAACCACAACCACTTTAGTAAACCAACCACTTCAACCACTTTATTTTGGTTGGGATTTGTCTGGGTATAAAAGGGCCCGGATTTTTGGTTGAACAGCTCAGTCTGGACCAGAACTTCAGAGGCAAAACCCCAATTTGTTGAGATACAAATTTGAGCGGAAACATTTATAAGTGCCGTCTGCAATTTTACGTACTAAAGTAATTAAACTATTCTTGATAAATAACGATTTATTTATTCAGATTTAACAGTTCTGAGCTATTTCCTAGATATTTAATCTTTATTACACGTTTTTTATTAACACTTTACTGTTTGAAATAGATTATTTAACTGCTTGTTAAATTTGGTCACGGTTCACTGGTACGCGATTTTTCCGTGTTGACTATTAAAGAAGGTACACGCGTTAGACATTAAGACACATTACATTAAAGGAGATATAATTTAGAAAACGGTTTTAACATTAATAGGACTTGAAACTCTGATGATTTCTACTACAAACTTTTACTTATTATTACATTATCGTATAGAATCTGTTGCTGAATGATAAAAATACAATTGTGCTCATTTGTTGACAATTTATTATTTTGTTATTGTAACTTTGTTTTATAAACAAAATAAACTTTGCAATATACTACTGGAATAAACAGTGTTTAAATGTTATAGAGAATTTATTTATCTATGTAGAGCTAGTTATCCGTTAAAATTATAGGTGAGCAAAGTAGATATAAAATAGTAATCACTATAGAAGTTAACTGTGTGGAACCAATCAACTCCCTTTACAGACTACATAAATAAACCTCTACTGAGAGAACACTACCAAAGGTTTAACCTCACGGCCTAGACCGTGACAATATGCTTAACTTCTTAACAAAAATAATTCTGTTTTCTTGCAAAGTTTAAAAGAAAGATAATTAAATATTCTTAAATTCATATTAAAAATAATTCAGTTTTTTATACTTCTTTATATGTACATTAACTAAAGAATGATAAATAAGTAATACAAACTAGATTTCTATTTGTGATAATTTATACTATTTACATAGACCAACTTATGATCTTATTTTATGAGGTTACCCCTCCACATGTAGCATCTGAAAAGAAATGTTGAACTCATCAATGTACAGAGAACATATTATATTTGTTGAAATAAGCAGTTATTACATGTATATATAAGACTCCACCCAAATTTTCATGTATACAAGCCTGTGTGTGCCAGCTATTTATAATTCTGTTCTGAAGCCGAGTTCCAGCATACCAATAGCTAACTTGTAGAAAAACATGTGGTCAGAGATATATAAGAGGTTTATAAGTGCAAGCCATGGATGTAATTCATTGAAATATACTTGACAGAATGTCTTAGTATATAATGGTACATGTGTCTCATAGTATAACTATAACAGTTTTGTTAGGCAAATTTAAATTTATGCCATGATATAAAAAAAATTCGAGAAGTGTAATATAATAATAATGTATATTCAAATATTTGCCAGTAACATGTATTTCCATTTAGACAAATTTATAGACTGTGGATAAAACTATCTGAGATACATGTATAATAGGTAGTTAATTTTTGGATCAATTAATAGGGGATATTTAGTAATTTGCTATATTTTGCCTCAAATTCAAAAAAAATGTTGCTGTTCTGTAAAAAAAACTTGCAATTTC